CCCTGAGGTCACCCGAGCTTCAGTTGGTTGGGTTTCAGTTAAGAAAAGTTGCATTTGGAACTCAGCCCCATCCATCCCCTTTATACATCCCCACAGACAAAGGCCACGTGCAGCTCAATCCCTGGCCCACACAAACACCAGGGCAGCCTCTGAGGGAGCCCAAGCATTGAGCTTAGGAGGTGACATCAGCCCTATCCCAAGGATTTGGGACAAACCCAAACCAGCCCCACAGCACTGACCTGCAGCACAGCAGAGAGCTCAGCCCTGAGTCCAAGCCAGCCAAGGGTGAGCCTAGGGGAACAGGAGGAGTACCTGGGAGCAGCAAGGACACAGCCCCAAAAAAGAAAGCCTGCAGCTCTACAGCAGGAGCCAGTAAATACTCCCTCAGAGCCCTCCTGGGAGCACAGGTGCTCTGGTTGAGGCTGCTCCCTCCTTCTCAGCCCTCCCAGGTGGCAATAAGCCACACACCCTGAGCAGGACGTGGGCTGCCTTGTGCCTCTGTGCCCCTGATCTGCAGAACGGAGCCTGGCACTGCTGGCGAGCATTCTCTCAGTGTGTCATTTCCATTGATTGAGAGCAGCATCCTCCTCCAGCCAAACAGAAGGCATTCCTGAATTAATTTAGATTTCCCGCTGCCTTGTTAGGCCAGCTGGATACGGCACGCTTCATCTCCTCTGCAAACAGTGCCTCTGTCCCTATGGGACACTCAGCACTTTATAAACCTGTCAAGCTCTTAAAGCCGACGGCCATGAGGCTCTGCAGCACAACGCAGTGAGGTGTGGGTCTGTACCAGCACCAGCCCACCCTGCAGAGGGGAAGCAGCTCGGATGGTCTGTGAGTGAGCGGATGCACTTTTGTGCCATGCTTTGGTTGAAGAGCAAGAAGAAGAATAATATGCAATGCTTGATTTGTTTCGGAGCATCCAAGCTGCTGCAAACTGTGGTGCTTTGAGAGCATATGTATATACATGGGAGAGAGGAGAGATTGGCCCCAGAGCTATTTGCATTTGCTGCCCTCCCTCCCTCGTGCACTGTTGTTCAAAGGACTCATCCTGGAGACAGCTGGAGTACCTGCAGCTCTGTGGAAATCAGAGCTTTCTGGTGCAGCACACCTGATCCAGCTGGGTTCCCTTTGCAAAATATGCTGCTCTGCCAGTCCTTCTCCCCGCCAACTCACCCGAAGCTGAATTACTTTTCCTACTTTTCCCACACGTTTCTGAAGATATTTTTTGCACCGCCAGCATCAGTTCAGCCCTCGGGGATGAGCACCCCAAGGACACTCATCACTCCCACGAGGGTCCCCGTCACTCCCTGCGTGTCCCTGGGCTCTGTCCTTTCTCTGCTCCCCTCCCAGGCACAAGGATGCAGTGATGGGGATGGAGCTGTGCTGGCTGTGTCCCAGCCGGGGCCGCACGCTCAGCCCAGCAGCCGGCGTCTGATGGTGTCAGATCGTTGGGTCCCCAAGGGATGCTAATGTGACTGCAGCAGGTCCCGGCTATTCTCTACAGCCCGGCGTGTTGTTGCTTCATTAAATGCCAAATTGTTACATTAATTCTAACTGCCCTGTAGAGATGTAGCTGTCAGGAATGATTTACTCGCCTCCAGCTGACTTGGGGACTTTTCACAAGCTCCAACAGAGGAACGGGAGGAAGGCAGGAGCTGAGCAGCAGCGGGACGGCGTGCAGCCAGGCAGGGATAGCAGTGCCTGCAGCATCCCTGGGGGGACAGAGCCGCTCACACCGCAGTGGGAAAAGAATCATGAAGGTCTGGAGCTGCTGGCAGCCGGAGCTGAGTGCTCAACCACAGAGTCTTTATGGACACCACTGTGTCACAGAGCTCAGTGATCGCTGCTCCCATCTCTGCCACCGCCGCCCGAGGGATGGATGGTGCATAAATGTCAGAAAATCTCCCTGGTTGGTCAGGATTAAGAGGGAGCTGTGTGTCTGCGTTCTGCCATGCTTTCCCTGGGCTCAGAGCAAAAATCCCAGCACTTCACACCCAGCACACCCACTGTGTGGGGGAGCCCCACACTGCCCATCCCCACAGCACCGGAGACCTATGGGGCTGCTCCCCCACTGCCCCTCAGTTGGAAGTGACCCAACTCATCACTCAAAATGGAAAAGGGAAGGAGGTACAAAAGCTGTTGTGCTCTGTCGTGCAGTAGTCCATTTAAACCCAGTGTGTTTGGGTGTCGAATTATTTTCCATCACCAGGCTGCAAAACGCTGTGCACAAAAGCACTGTGCCCTTCTGCACCCCAAATCAACACCTCCCCGTGCCCTGCAGCCCTGCAGGTGCACACACCCGTATGTGAGGCTCAGCACAAAACGCACTTCTGCATGGAGAGATAATAAAGATGTCAGAAAGAAAAAGCTAATAATAATTTAAACATCTTTGCTTATTTTTTCCCAGCGTATTTGTGCTCGCTTGGTTCTCCTGTCAGCTTTCAACAAAGCCATTTGTGCTGTAATGTTGTTTCGGGGTGTAAATCCTGCAGGTCTGAGCGCTTCCTGCACCTGTAGGGAGCACAGGTTTGGGACACAAGGACTCATCAAAGGTGGATCTGCCATTCAAAACCAAAAAGTCATGCATTAGATTTTCCTCCCCGCCAGCACACAAACTGCTCCTCCTCAATGCACTCACACTGATCAGCAGAGCTGATGGAGCTCACCTGCAAAGTGAGCGATGCGAGCCACTCTTCCTAATTCCAGTCGGGTTTTATGAGCTGTCACTCCATTCGTGCTGTTGGTTTTATTTCCTCCTTCCAAATTGGTTTTCTTTTTAACGAGAAGAAAGCATTTCTGTTAATGGGATCTCTGAGTCTCAGCCCGGAGATGCACAGCTGAGATGCAGCAGGTGCCAGAGCACCGCCGTCCTGCCAGCACAGCACTGCACAAAGCAATGGGCAGAGTTTGCATCTCTTCCCTTCCTCAATGCAGACTTGCACGGGGAGCAGCAACTCAGCTCTGCATTTGCTGTGAGGGAAACTATGAGCAAAATCTACCAAACGCTTGGGTCTGCTTCCAGACAGTGGTCCTATAGTAGCACCGTTCCCCTAAAGTAAACTCCATTTCTGCCTTTGTTCTCATTTCCTTCTTTCAAAAATCACTCTTAATAGGAATTAATTATGAATAACGGCCAAAATGTACTGCTGGGAAACAACCAGCCCGGGTTGGATGGCCTGTCTCTGAACCATGGAGCAATGGAGCAGAAAGCAAAGAGTTCTTGAAAAGAAGAACTCTTCTCTGTGTGGGTGAGGTGATGTCTTCTGATTTCCAAAGCTCCTCCATTTTCTAATTAATCCATGAGTTTCAATGAGCTGTGGCCCCCCGGTGGCACTGTGAGTCACCAGCAACAGTTGTCTGCCTGTTACTCAGTTCTGGTGCAGGAAGGGGAGAAGCTCCTGGGCCCAGACCCTACTGGAGCCCGATGTGCCATGGGAGGCACTGCTCCCAACACCTGAAACGCCCCAGGAGCTGAGGCACACGGGTTTGGCACCATGAGCTGAAATTCAGCTGCTCGGGGACCTCGTGATGCTGCAGCCTGGGACAAATCTGCCCCTGCCTTACACATTTCCACCTGTGCAATGAATGCTGGAAGATAACAACGAGCCATTAAAACCAGCCTGACCACAACCAAGGGCTGGGCATGCACTGAGCAGCTCTGCTCGGATCTCCCAAGCACTGCAGCCCCAAAGCTCCCAGTTCTGTTTCTGCCTCTCAGAGCATTTTGACATCAGTTGTATTGCAGCTGTGCTGAGAGAGGAGAGCGCGCTTTGGTGCTTTTGTGAATCAAGACTTCAAGTTTAGAGAGCTTTTACTTTTATTTTCAGGTATTGCATTTATTTATATAGATGTGTTTGATGTGAATTTAGCAAAAGACAATTTAAAGTTCAGCTGACAAATTTATTTGCAGCCTTGGAGTATTCGATCATCAGAGAGAATGCGAGAATAGAAATAAAAGACACGGGACAGTCACATCATCTACAGAGAATTCCATCATTTGTACAGGTAACGACACACACATTGCTTTGCCTTTCCTCACCGTCCGCTCGCGCTCTGCAGAGATGCACAAATGCCTCCAACAGAGAAGAGCTGCCGGGAAGGCGAGCGCTCACTGCAAAGCACAGCTGGAGCCAGCGATGCCACCACAGAGAGACCCAGAGGGCGTTTGGCAACAGCGGGGGGAGCGGAGACACTGCAGAAAACGGCTGCAAAGGGATCTTAAAGAACAGCAAAAGATTCACAGCTCTGAGCCGCCGGTGTTCCAGGGCCAGGAAAACCACCTCTCGCCATCGTGATGAAGGTGGAGTTATTTGGGAATAAATACATCTATTCATGGTTCAACGCTTATACGGAGGAATGAAACTAGCAGCCTACAAATCAAAAAGATGCGAAGCGGAATCAACGGGTGGGCTTCACTTTACAAAGGAAAAGGGTTGATGGTGAGTGATTGGCATACGAAAGAGCATCTGGATTTAGAAGAGTGAAGGTAAATTCAGAAGAAAGTAGAACATACCGCCTCAAAAATCTGCTGGAAGAACAGAGATGTTCGCTACCATGGGGTTCTGAAGTGATCCACTATTAACATTTCTCCTACAGAAATACAGACACGGTCACACCTTGCACCGCGGATGAGGACTTTATTTTCTCTTCAGAAGGTTTTCGGTGCGGGTGGGTGATGGAAGAAGTCCTCGCTTTGGAGAATGAACTGACAGCAGAAAGCAAAATACGTCCTATCAAATCTGTAGAGCACAACTGTCGGTGTTCAGTAAGGACACGACGCCCAGGTTCGTGGGACGCTCCTCACGCTCACCGCTGTGCCACGTCTCCCTTCTCCACCGCAGACCCACCACCTGCTCGCCCTCCGCAAGCACATCCACGCTCTGCAGGCAGCTGTGCCGTCCTGCACTCAGCACGTCCCTCCTTCTTTCCCCATGGGCAGATGACGTTTGACAGCAATGAGTCCTTTCCCTTCCCACTGCACGGCGGCGGATCCTCTATCAAAACTGAGCGTGGTCGACTTCATCCAGCCAGGAGGCCGGGCTGGCGGGGAAATCCGGGTATCCCCCACTGCTGCCGGTGGAGAGGTCAGAGCTGGGCCCATTCCCGGCCAGGACCCGCATGGACTGGGGCACCCCCTGTCCACCTTGTCCCATGATGCCCAAACCGCTGTCGGGGTAAACCAAGCTGGAGATTAAGGGCTGGTGGCCTGGCAGAGCTTGCAAAGAAGCCGGTGACTGGGGAATCCCGTAGGGGCTGTTGGATCGCAGGTCGTGGTACTGGTCCTGAGCTGGGATGCCGCTGTGATCCAGAGCGAAGCCCCCATTTGTCCCAGCCTGCCTCCCCAGGGCCGGGGACGCCTCGCTGAGATTGCTGTAAATCCCATTGGAGTGGCTCATCTCGGACATGGAGGGCTCATCTGAAAGGGAAGCGGAGCGCATTTACTGCGAGGGCGATGGCCGCGGCCGGCAGCACAGACAGGAGCTCCTGAGAGCCCTGGGTACAAACGGATGGGTGGGAACTGGGCAGCCATGCACTCGATACTTGTATTCCTTATTATTCCTTATTATTCCTTATTATTCCTTATCATTCCTTATTATTCCTTATTAGTTACTCCTTATCATTCCTTATTATTCCTGCCCTTGCTGATGAGTCTCCAAAGAAAGGCATGGGATTATTTTTTCTGAGTACAAACGTGTAATACACTTTGGATCTGAAACACAGGCATGAAAAGCACACATTAAAATATAAGACTGTGGTTTTAAAATAATCCTTTAAAGAGGAACGTGCGTTCAAGTTCTTTCCACCTTTTATTTTATTTTATTTATTTTTTTTTTTTTTGGTCTCTCATTTCTATTTGGCTTTGAGGTTTATTTTGAATTTCAGTCTCATTTTTAGGAACTACCCAAGCATTCAATCCATGAAAAACTGTGCATTGCTCAGAAGAAAACGTGTTAAATCTCAGCAGCGTTTGTTTTCTCAGGATTGCAATCAGGAGACGGAAGGCTTAAAAACACTTCTGAAAAATGAAAATATTTTGTAAATTGCCAGCAAAAATTGTTTGCTTTCGTTTGGGGCTTTATGGACAGCGAGAGCCGTTCTGTTGCCTTGGATACAAATCTGCCTTGGCACCCAACTATCGATAATTGTTCAACAATTTTAGTTATTATTTATAGCACATCCATAATTAATGACACCGAGGCACAGTGTGTGTGTGTGTACACAGGCTGGAAAATCAAACAGTTTTTAGGAACACGGGAGAGAGCAGAAACACGAAGCTGGGTGCGTATAAACATCCGTGCATCGCAGTGTCTTTGTCGGCACAGTTTTCCATTTCAACTTCTGCACAGCTTTGCATTTCAGCTTCTCTCCCGTGCCCCTGCGAACGATGTCCGTGCCCACACAGCTGAGCCCCGCGGGGATGCAGTGCAGGTGCTGTCAGTGGGGATGGTTTGACGCTGCCGTCCCTGTGCAGCCACCCCAGCGCAGGTCCGGCAACGAGCGGCCGCCGGGCTGAGGAGCACAGAGCTGTGAGCTCCGGGGTTTACCTGCAGAGGTGGCTGCCCCAAAAAAGGGACCCTGTAACGCAGAAATCTTCCAACACGAAGCAAATTCCTTTTTTACAGCAGGGAGGTAACGGCTCCCACAAGACTGGGAAGTATTTAACCAGGAACTACGCAAATAAAACGATTTTAAATAGGGTAATGCAAAAACAGCAGCCAAACTGAGAAGAACATATGCGCCTCTCATAGTTCAGTGCAGCAATTCTGAATTCTGAGTTTTGTGTTTCTAACAGTCCCTCGAGAAGGCTGCATGCAGGGGCTGCTCCAACAGCCCAGCGCTGCCCAGAGAACTCTCCCTGCTCCGTCTGGGATCACGGGGTTTTCCCGTGCCATTTCTCAGCTCACGGCTGTCCCTGGCCGAAGCGGCTCCGGCTCCGCCAGGGCGACCCCTCCAGTCCGCCTTCCTCCTCCCGCGCTTGTTTTCCCTCATTATATTACAGCTAAAAATTATTAATGTGGCCCCGATGGGGCGAAGCGAGTCCTGCCCGGGCCGCGGCTCAGCAGGCAGCGTTCGGCACAGCCCCGCCGGGCACCGACCTGTGAAGGAGACCTCGGCGTCGCTGTCGGGCCCCTCCTCCTGGATGCTGTCCTTGTCGGACTTGGAGCTCCCCCGGGACCGCTTCATGTTCCTGAAGTACTGCCCCCAGCGCTGCCTCCCCGCGTCCTTCTTCAATCGCTTCTCCTTGGCCCTGCGGTTCTGGAACCAGACCTGCGAGCAGAGCACGGGGCAGCTCGCTGTGCGCGGGGCCGACCCGACCCCAGCCGCCTCCCTGGGTGGGAACCGCGCGGTCTCACCTGCACCACCCGCATGTCCAATCCCGTCTCCGACGAGAGCTGCTCCCGGACGTGCCGCGCCGGCTTGGGCGAGTTGTTATAGGCGTTTTTGAGGGTCTCCAGCTGCTTGGCCGTGATGGTGGTGCGGGGCCTCTTGGCCGTGGACTCGGCCTCTGCCGGCACGCTGAGGGTTAGCTCGGAGCTCCCCGTGGGGACCCGGGACCCCCGCCCTCCCTCTTGCCCAACCCTAAGTACGAGTGGAGCCCCGAGGGCAGAGCGGCCCGGAGCAGCCTCTCTCTTCCGCGGGGGCGAAGGGCACGCGGTACCTCTCTGCTTGGCCGTCTCGTAGTCAGCCTTGCACACCAGCCTGCTGTCCTCCATCAGGTAGAACTCGTCTCCGGTGGCCAGCTGCCGCTTGCAGACGATGCAGGCGAAGCAGTGCAGGTGGTACACGAAGTCCTGGGCCCGGCGCACCACCTGGGTCGGGGGGATGCCCTGCTGGCAGGCGGCACACTTCGTCCCGAAGCGCCTGGATGGGGCGACAGGCGGCGGCCGCTGAGCGCGGGGATCCCGCGGGCCGAGCCGAGAGCTGCCGCTGTCCGCGGTGCTGAACCCCGAGATGGAGCCGCTGTCCGCGGTGCTGAACACCCCCCGTTCCCCTCCGCCCCCCGTTCCCCTCCGCCGCCCCCCGACCCACGCACTTGAAGAAATCCTCCTTGCAGTACACGCCGTCCCCGCGGCTGAAGCACTTCTCGGCCAGCTGCGTCTGGCAGTCGGAACATTTCAAGCACTTGCTGTGCCAGTGCCGGTCCAGGACCTTGAGGATGAACCTGTCCACGATGTGTTGATTGCAGCCGGCGCACAGCGGGATCTCTGCGGGAAGCAGCCCCCATCAGCTGCCGCTCTGACGGTCCCACTGCCACCCACCGCCGCCCGATCCCCCCCGGCCCGGCATTCCCGGAGCTGTCCCCGTCTGAAACCCCGTGGCTGGCCCCGGGAACGGCGTGTAAAACATTCTTTTTCATTCAAATTTGTTGGTGCGGTGTTGTGAAAGCCTCTCCCCGCAGCACGGAGCACAGAGACACCCCCCACCCCCCCCCCGAACCGCTCACATCCCAGGAAAACACAAACGGAGACGCTGGGAATGGACTTCAGCCCCAGCCGAGCCGCCCACACCACCTCTCATAGTTATTCCATCCCTTTTCGCTTTTCCGACACTTCAAATATTCACCAATGAATAACGGCGGGGCAGCCTGGCCTGGGAGGGGGGCGAACAAACTGCCCAAAATAATGAAAATTGTACTGAAAACAAAACACAGCAGGAGTGTTCTGTCACCCTGCAGGTATCAGAAGAAGTGATCTCTGGAAAGAGACGATACAAAGATATAGAAACAGAGAGAGAGAAGAATGAAAAGGTAAGTAGGTTAGAAAGAGAAAACCTACAGATATATGGACATAAATATACAGATATTGGCAGGTACAGAGAGAGAGATAGAAATGTAGATGCAGAGACACAGAAATACGGATTTATCAGCACAGATACAGATATAGAAATATACAGACACAGCTGCGTGGATACAGATAAACACAGACATATGGGTATCTGTATGCAAAGGTAACCGTGTGGAGACATACAGAGATGTACGGCTGTGGGTAGGAGCAGAGGTTCAGGTGATGCCGTTATCGCTATAATCGTCTGCTCTACTCTTATCGGCGTCCGAACAAACGACACCCGCAGCGGTAGCGATAACGGCAACGGCGACAGCCGACCCCGAGCTGCCGGACAGCCGAGCAGCGGCACCGGCATCGCGGCCCGGAGGCAGACACGGGGCTGCAAGGGGCCGGCGGCTCTTACTCTGCATCGCGCTCCGCTCGCTCAGGCGGGACGCACCGCTCCGGAGACTCAACGGGGCGCTCCCTCCAACGACCCTCCCCGCTCCCTCAGCTCTCCGTTATCCCGCTGCCGCCCCGGGATCGAACCCCCCCGGGATGGTGATTTGCAGCCGTCGGCCGTTCCCGCCAGCAGCTCCGTACTGCGCTGTATTTAATCCCCTTCTCGGCTGCGCTCTGCGGGAGGGAGACGGTACCGCAGAAACGAAATCCGACGGTGCCCAGAAACGAAATCCGGGCGGGGCCGCCCCGACGGGGCTGAGGGATGGCGGGGGCCGCGCTGGGCCCTGGGGCCGCATCGGGGGAGGACCGGAACGGGGGGGGAAACGGCGGTCGGTGCCCGGAATTCGTTGTGCGCTGCTGAGAAAAGGGATTGACCAAAGGATTAAAAAGCAAAACAAAACAAAACAAAACAAAACAAAACAAAAACAAAAAACAAAAAACCAAACCAAAACAAAACAAAAAAAAAACGAAAAAGAAAACGAAAATGAAAACGAAAATGAAAACGAAAATGAAAACAATTACTCAATAATAAAAGCACGACGAACTCAGCCGCACTGCCTCCCGGTGCCCCTCTCTTCCCCTGGCTTTTTGCGGGCGTCGCGTCCTGCGGGGACTCGGCGTTTTTGTCTCGTTCCTCCCGTTGTGAATTTGCTCCGGGCTGTTTCGGTTCCTTCCCCGCCGCTAAGAGGAACCAACTCCCGACGCTGGGGGTCAACCGCGCAATTCCCGCAATGAGCACAGCGCGGAGAGAAGCCGGGGAGAGGTGCAGAGACACTCGGGGCTCGGAACGGAACGAGGAGCAGCGGACCGACGGCGGGGAGCTCCGGCAGCTCCGGCACCGCGACCCCGTCCCTCTCCGCCTCGTCCCCTCCTCGTTTTCGTTTAAAACCCTCGCACCGACGGTTTTCGCCCGCATCGTCAGCGCCGGCATTTTCGCCATTCGTTAAATTGGGAAGGGAAAAAATAAAAAAAAAATTAAAAAGAGGAATTACGGGGAGATTTTCCAGAGTGGGAACGGAAAGGGTCGGAGCCAACGGGGGTCGCTCAGGGGGTGTCCGACCCCGGGCAGCAGCTCCTCATCTCGCCCCACCGTCGTTGCGCGTGGAGCTGCAGCCGTCACGGGACAGAATTCGCAGCTCCGCGGGGCCGAGCAGAGCCCTCCGGGTCCGGGCCGTGCGCTCAGCCGGGCACAGACGCGGCGTTTCCCGCTCGGCAGAGGCGGAGAGTTTCTGGCTACACAGACGGCACGGACGGACCGAAACGGGCACCGGGAGCAGGCACAGGGCGCAGCCGGGATCGGGACACGTCGGACGGGGGAGAAAGGAGTCACAGGCCGTCGGGCCGCTCGACCTTCCCTCGGCCGACCCCGAGCGCGATGCCACGGGGCACCCGGACCCATCGGCGGTGTCTCCGCGAGGGGACGCGGGGCTCTGCGCCCTCTCACCTGGGCTCCGAGGGAAGGGGCAGAGCTCCGCTGCCTTCTCCGAGCCGGCGCGGACCCTCTCCAGCAGCATCGCGGACGCGCCGGGTGCACGGGATGTCCGAGATGCGCGGGTGGCTGCGGAGGAGTGGCGGAGCGCTGCGGGGAGCGGCGGGGAGCGGCGCGGGGCTGGACCGCGCCCGGGGCGGAGCGGGGCCGGCGGGGGGGCGGGCTGGGGGCGGCACCGAGCCGTCGGGCCGGGCCGCAGCTGGGCCACGGTTCACCGAGGGACGATTTAGCATCACAAAAGCGCAAGGGCGAGGGGGGTAAGGATCGTTCCCCACGTCCCACGCGTGCCCCGGGGCCCCGTGAAGCCCCCGCGGGGGCACCGCGCTGCGGGCGGAGGTCAGGGGAAGCGCCGTCGGGTGGAGGTCCGGCCCCCACAGCTCCGATTGCGTTCGTTCCAGCGGCGCGGGGCCACCGACGCTGCCCGTGGGGAGCGGGGAGCCGTCACTCTCCGTTAATTAGTTAATGAGCGTGAAGAAGTAGCGGGGAGAGTACCTGACCCACGGCAATCAGTGCCCTGAAGCTGGCAGAGGTTAATTGCGTTAATTGAGCGTCCAAGAGCGTGCAAGGGGCGCACATAGGAGTGCAGGGATGTGCACAGTGGGGCTGAGCTACGTGGCTGTGAGTGCAGCTGTGGGTACCTGCAGTTGTGTGCAGTGCGTGCGTCCACGTCAGCCTGCGTGTGCTTTGGGTGTGCAACTGTGCGTCTGCATCTGTGTGGCTGTGCTGCATTCTGATAACTCCTGTGTGTGCAGGTGTTGTGTGTGTGCACATTCTGTCTGTCTGTCCACGTCCCATGGTGTACAGCCCCATAACTGCATGCACACCGCTTGTCCCAGCAGCCGGAGCTGATAATTGTGGTTGTTACTGTGAGACCACTAATCCCCCCAATCCCTTTACCTCCTGCTCGCCGGGGATTACAAATTAATAAAAGCAGCTTAGGGGCAGGAGCCTCCAAACACACATATGTTCCTGGCGGAGGGCGGCACGGCGACTTTCACCTGCCCACCGGGCTCAGCTTCACAGCAACACCGAGCTCTGCTGGGTGCCACGGCCAGTGGATGGGTGGGTGGGGATGGATCCCATCCCAGGGACGGCTCTGAGCTGCAGGGAGATGGCAGGGGGAGAGGGATGGAGCTCCTCGCACGGGGTTACAGCAGCGCCCCCAGCACCGGAACAACTTCGGCTGTCCCCGGGGCCACGAGCAGCTCCTGGGGCAGGCAGTGACCCACGCAGCCTCTCTTAAGCTTGGGTTTCTAAGTGGATTTTATGTCTGATCCTCTAAGGAAGCAGTTTAAAAGCCTGCGTGCTTGCGGGCGCTGTGTGGCAGCCGCTCCCCGTGAGCAGCTGGGCAGGGCGGCAGCCAGGTAACCTTCAGCACCCACGTGAAACAAGGCAGCACACCCATTAACTTCAGACAGTGAGGGTGGATCATCCCTACCCAGCCCCAGAGGTGAACGTCTGCATTTCTCCCCATGGTATTTGGGCTGTAACAGTGAGAAAAAAACGGAGTAAGTCTTTCCAAATTCATTACCTACAGAAAACAATGGGTATGATTTGAACTGGATGTGCATACAAGCTGTGCCTGCACTGGAATTCAACTAAAAAGACCCCAAAAACACAGATGAAAAACTCCAGCTGCACCACTTTGCCCAAATGTTTGTATTTTTAACAAGCACATCAGCTTACAGTTCAGTACAAAATATTCACTTTTCTTTCCTGGAGTTTAAAAACAGAACAGAACAGACACGAAAACATCAATTACTGAATCTAAATAAATAAAACATTTAAATAACGGAGCTGTTACATCCAATGTCCCCAACATCTGATACGCAGTGCACAGATGGAGAAAACACACCCCAAAGCTTTGGTTCCACTCATAGATCGCAGTCAGCTCTGAGCAGCAGCAGGACGGATAACAGTGCTGGGAATCATAAACCAGAGGCATCACAAAGGACGCCAGCGGGGCTCTTCAGCACTCAACCTTTTCCTTCTCTCTCTACGCAGGTCCAGTATTTCCTCTTCACAAACATCTGAAGAGCAAAGAAGGCTCCACGAATTACCAAGGCCCAGAAAACCTGATGGGAAACGGCTGCTCCAAGGATGGTGGGAGCCACGGATGGAAATGGCATGGCAGAAAGTTGGTGCACGGCACAGAAACAGAAGTCCCAGGAGGAAGGGGACTGCGAAGCACTGCAAGGAGATGCTGTGTGACACCTGCCAGCACAGCGGCAGCACCACGCATCTCCCAGCAGATGTACAACATGCATACAGCCAAAGGGCAAGAGGGGATGACATCCGTCACGACAAAGATACCAAATAAGTAAACCAAGGTTGGCACAACTGAGTCCAAAGTCAAGAAAACCTTTCCAGATGAGGGCAGTAAAAGCAGTTCAAGTGAAAACCTGCGCCAGCTTGCTGCTAACACCACGGGAGCATCAGCACAGACAAACCCACACCTTCGTGTCGTGCTTCTATGCTAAGAAACAAAGAACACCACTGCAGTTCCACACGTCTGGCCATTTTGTCACAGAAGTTATTGGTATGTACCAAAGCAACCTTATTCCAGCAGCACATTTGCTGCTGTTCTGATGGCAGAATCGCCTCTACAAACCTTCAAAGCCTTTCTTTTTCCTTTGGAGATGAAAATACAATGAGGAGTCAAACCAACTGGGGTCTGTAAAGCATAAGGGAAGCTTAAAGCAGTGATGACTGTTCTTCTGCTTCAAAACACCGCTGGCAGCAGGAAGCCCAGCAGTCCCAGGGAAACTGCCACATCTCCCACAGCCCTGCGCTGCCTTTTGCTGTTCCTCTGGATGTAGTTCAGTGTTTTGGTTGGTTTGTTCTGAGAAGCAAAACAGTTTTGATTGGCTGATACCAGGATCTCCCCAGATCCATCAGTCGGAAGTGAACCAATTTTCAAGCTTAAACTTCACAGGTCTGGGCTTTCCCATCAGCTCAGCTCCCCCTGGGAGCTCTCACGGGATGCCAGCTCAAAGCACGGTGGCACAGATCAGCCACCACAGGTCAGCCACCCTTCTCCCTGCTTACAAGTTGTTTTCATGTTCAAACCCAGGCACTATAATCATTGGGACTCCTACAGATTCCTAAAGAAACCCACAAGGGCTCCTTGCACCAGAGCTCTCCAACACAGAGCACGGCCAGGGAAGGTGCTCAGCTGCAGGCACAGAGCTCACAGCACACAGATGGCTGTGCAGGGCTGCAGGTAAAACAAGCCTGACGTGCACAGAGTAACAGCACCATGTGAATGGAGAGCTTTTCCTGATGTGTTTACAACAACAACACGGGGTTGTTACCTTATCTGTAGGTTGTTTTGACACTTAAAGGAACCGTTCATCCGCCTCAATTCCATTACTGGAGTTTGAAGCTGCAGAAAAACCTGTCTGAAAAAAAATCCATTTTGTAAAGAAACCCATTTAGTGATGAAAAAACATCTTTGCTGAGTTTTCGTGCTGAGCTTGAAGCTTTCCATGCTGGGATGTGCAATGCAAAGAGGCTGATAGACGCAGTACAAATAACAGAATGAATCGGCCAGGGGCTGCTCACCTCTCGTGTAACAGAAGAGCTACTGAACATTCAATTAAATTACAAGTTGGAAATGCAGAATTGAAAGGAAAACCCTTTTTATATAACATAATTAATCTGTAGAACTCACTGCCACGAGAAAACATTGAGGCCAAAACCTATTAGGATTAACTAAAGATTAGGTAATGGATAACTAGAACACGCTCAATTACATTGGATAGGATTATAAACTTCACTACCCAGAACATGAATTATCCTCACAGATCAGAAAGGAACTCCTATTCTGAATGGTAATTTTATAACTGTTTTCATGCCTCCTTCTAATAGCTGCCAGCCAGCATCCCTGTCAGATCTGCAGAGCCATTGGCCATTCTCCCCACTGCTGCCACATGCAATGGAAGAGCTCTTGGACCCACCTACAGTTAAAACCCTCCCTGACCCACACAGCAGAGCTCTCAGCACACCACCAACAGAAGCTGGCTGCTGTACTTCCTGCACAGAGCTCACACCAACAGGTGACATTGCCATCACTGGTGGCACCAAACGAAGCATTTCTGCTGACTTCCAGAAGAGCAGCATTGTGACACAACGGAGACATTCAGCATTTAAGGAATGTTGTATTTCTACACCTGAGCATCTGCTCTGGCACGCTGATGCAAACAGCCTCGGTTTCCTTCACTACAAATGGTGTTTCTCTTCCCTGCAGTCCAGCAGAATTGGCACTTGGCTAAGACCACATTCAGTACTGAGCTGCTCCTGCTCCAATGAGCCATCCAACGCTCTGTTAATACAGCCAACAGTGGTGCACACAAAGCATCGGGTCTGAGTTGGTTGTTGCTTACACCTGAACTCCATTAAATGGATGATGGCATCAGCAAACACAATCAGGCTGCTTGCAGAGATGCACACCAGCCCAGGCCTCCTGTCCTTGCAGAGGCACACACATCCTTGGCAACACGAGGGAATGGAAGAAGTGCTTGAAGACGCTTTCTACTCTATGTATGCAGTGTGAGCAATACTTGAGAAAGTCACAGAGGTTTAGAATCGATTTAAAGCAGACCTCATAGCCTACACCGGTACCAATGCTGATTGCATAAAGTCATGCTTACTCTGCAAGTGAGTAAATGATGTAAGCCAGGGAAAAATCCTCACTGAAAAATGCAACACTTCCCTCACTGGGTATTTTGTGACAGCACCGTGTGCCTCAGAGAGAAAGGCTGGGGTTCTTACAGCAGGCGCCTTACATTAAGCTAGAACACTTGTGAAATGACTTGGGGAGAAAGGGTTTTAAAACAAGGAATACTGCATATAAAATCCCTGATCATTAATATTGAAGTCCTATCTGGTACTGAACAGCCACGTCCAACAGAAACAACCTGGCTCCACCGTGAGCTGTTACACAGACGGGCGATAGTACTTCACCTTCCACCTTTTAGATCTCATTCGGAAAAAAAAGTACATGATCATCAGAAATAAGGATGATGCCACATACAGGACGACACACAGACTCATGTCTATGTTGGAAAATCCAATCCCTAAGAAAATGACAGACTGCCTGCTCTCCTGATGGTGAACGGCCTCAAATGCACCCTTACTGCTGTCTCTGACAGGTCCGTGGTTCCCTGTGAGCTTATTGAACAGCTTAGATTCTGAATCTCTTATGAGTTCTTGGTTCACGACCACGTTTTCTCTATTTCCACCTGGTTTCTCCTGCAGGCTTTTGTCTTTCTCCTCCCTTGCATCTTTTAGTTCAGTATCACTGGGGTCAGCCTGGCTCTCAACGTATTTATTCAGAATATTTCCACTGTCGTAGTGATGCTTCATGAACTGCAGAACTTGGGCCTCGTTCCAGCTGTGTAACCCTTTAACTTCCTCGTGACACGCAGGACAGAGGTCTGGGGTTGGCCACTGAACTTTGGGAAATTTTGGGTCTTCTGTCAGATCACCTGTTTGAGAGAAGGACAAAAACACATCAGAAATGAATGAGTGAGGCAAGCTGAACCGTCAGACACCTCAGCAGAAACTGCAGTGCGTATTTCACTTATAAACAGGGAGGCTGGAAAACAAACAAACACCAAAAAACCCACCACAGCACAGTAATGTTTGTATTAAACTGAAGGCAATCACAAATTAAGCCATCTGTGACTTCCCTGACGGGTGCTTGCTCTGTCCCAAAGCACTGCTTCCTCCTCTAAGGTACAAACACTATCAGTTATTTTCCTCTTCTCTCACTAAAAGATGCAGCATTCAAATTCCAATACAACAGGATCCACAAGTGCTGTGGTGCTGGAAGGCATGAGAACATCACCAGCTGGGCCGTTCAGGGTTAACTGCAGTTATGCTTTGTAACAAATGCTCTTTTGCACTGGATGCTCTTTAATCTTCCAGCCTGGTCTGCAGTAAGCTGTTACAAACATTTGTCTCTGCTATTCAAATGGGAGAGCACAGGTCTGCCTTTCAGATGTCTTACAATAAAAAAAATCACTCTGTAATCACTTTGTTTCACCAGAGAAAGCAGAAGAAAGACAACTCACGTTAAGATTACCAACAGAAAACTTACTGCACCTCGTGTTCCCCTGCCAAAAAGAATGCACACATTTTGTATCAGGAATTGAGTAGGGCAGAGCTACAGACAGCAACCTCACAACCCACACCTGAGGTCTGTGCCAAGGTGCTTTCACTGACCACTCAAACACTGTTTCTCATGAAAGCTATCTATGTTGCCAGAAATACAGCTGCAGCTTTTAGGGATTACAAGAAGTTGCTGTCCCAAAGAGAAATTTTAGCAAACTTAAAATGCATTATTTGACACTGTTCTTCATTTCAGTTACACTTCTGACTAACAGTGTTTCAGCCAGCTGCTGCATCATTTCAATCAATATCCACGTGGCTTTTCCAGTGACTGAATGCTCTAAAGCAGCACATTGCTCCACTGTAGGAAGATGTGACTCCCTGCGTTCAGTCTGGCAACAGTAGCAAACATTCAGGGATGAGTTTTTGCAATACCTCCTCATAGGCTTCTTTCTTCTTGGAGAAAGGAAACCAACTGCTTCTACTCACAACAGTATTTAGTTCTTCATAAATCTTGGGAACTCAGCCTAACCACGATATAAACACAGTGCAGCATATTTAAATTGTAACTAATGCTACATTACACAGATCCATAACAGGAGGCGAGGATTAAGTGCAAAGAGAAACCAATTTTCTTTAGTGCTTTAGCTATTTGATATCCCCATAACAGAACAGATTAAATACAACCCAGTATTTTAGCTGTATTTTTAGTCCAACTGAAAACACAGCAATCGAGGCAGCGGGGGAAAACAGATATTCCTCATATGGCAATTTTGTTTTATTTGGTTGTTGATCTGATAATAGTTCAGGCTCTTTTATCCTGAGAAAGCCTCCTCTTCAATTATCACCCTCTCCACTAAAGCATCTTTCTTTCCAGAACAAAATGAAGATGAGTTTTAACACCTGCTTCAATTGTAACGGAAAGAAAAGTAATTGTTTTTATCCACTAAGTAGCTGAACTGCATTGCTCCTTTTGGAAAAGCATCTCATCAAGCAACAGGTGACATCTCAGAAGGAGCATTACCTCTGAGAAGCTTTTTCACTGCATGTCATAAGAGATAAACTGTTCTACTGGAGTGTGGATCAAGTGTGGATATTCCTCAGTCAAGAAAAAGTTACCAGGCTGGTCTTTAGAGTTAAAGCTGACTGAGATGCTCTAAGTCTTGCTCTGCATACAAACACCCTTAAGGCTGTTAACCTTGCACACCAACAGAATTACGGAGCTGGTCTTAAGCCAGTATTTCATAGGGGACATTAAGCTGAGACAACAGCTGCTGTTGGTTTGAACCCATGTCACAAAGCACTGCCTGCATGCCTGTTTGTTCCAAGACAAACTACACTGTATAAAATGCCAGAGCCTTTCAGCACAGCTACCCTGTGTGCGTTTTCCTTCTTACCTGCAAGTCTGCTATTGACTACATTGTGTTTCTCCCAGAGCCAGAGAACAGCCCTGTCCCAGGTTTGCACCGAGTCCATGGATTCCTTCGCCATCTCCTCGAAGTGCTGAGCACAAGCCTTGCATCCAAAGAAGTGATGGACGTATCTCTGCATGACCTCAAGCACTATTCTGGGATTGTCTTCGAGACCTAGAAAGGCAGTGAGATGCATTCAGCACCACTGGGACAAACACTGCTTCAGTGTGTGCTCTGCACAACACACCTGGCAGCGAACCCAAGAAGGGAAACCTTGTTCTCTTCTCATCCCATGGATACAAACACCTCCAGAGGCACAGAACCTGCCCCCTTTCCCATTGACTAGCACACGTGTAGTCATCAGCACCAAAACCAAATGCTTGCCAAATTAAACAGCTCACGATGCAGTGCCTCACTGCAGTGCCTGAGCAACTGCTGCAGCCAAACACCTGGGAGGAACCCACAGCACAGGGCTTGCAGATTATGTGGTAAAGGGTTCCACAGCTTCTGTCCTGTTCTGGCAGTGAAAAACAGAGGCTGGGAGCACATGTGCTCCATGTACATGCTCAGAAAAAGAATCCTTAGCAAAACCTATTCAAAACTGCCAGAGTGTTTGTCTGCTGCCTGTGGAAGAGACGCATGGAGACTCCACAGCACACCTTCACTCAGAGCAGAGATGTTATTAAAGCCAATGAAAAGCAAACAATCTCTGCTCAGACATTCCATATCTGTGATTGAACAGGCACGTATAAATAAAAGCGAGGAGATTACAGCAGATTAAATTACCATCTTACAAGAAAGGCTAAAAAGCGTTTCGGAAAGTTGAAATGAATTTCAGACAAAAGAGTTTCATCACATGAACTGACTATGAACTTAGGAATAAAATCAGTAAGAAATAACTACTAGCAAACAATCTCTTCATGCAGAACAAATTTAACTGTAGCTGTTCTCCTGTGCAATGTTACATCCTTGAAGTTTCCTTCAAAATTCATTTTCTAGAGAGGGCTTTCAAATTTAGCAACGGATTAAAAGATTCAGATATGGAGTTAAAAATCCACAAGCAAGTCTTATCCACACCAACAGATCCCAATCATTGAGAACTCCTCCATACAAATGAAGGATGCCCAGGATGAGATTTCTGCAGCGATTTTTATCTGCCTTCTGAAGTGAACAATTCTGTGCTCAGAGCTCCTTTGGGGTCCCCGATGTTCATCTCATTGCAGCTTCAAATGACACAGCTCAACATTAAAACACATCAAATTTAATGCAATAAAAACATTCAATCAAGAAAATCATGGTAAGTTTATGCTGGCTGCTGCCAGACTCTGCAAGGAGTGGAAACTATCAAGAAAAATCCAGCTGGTTTAAAAAGGAAACAAACAATTGCAAAATGGCTCATTTTGTTTGTTTTTCTTTTATCAGCCCAGAGATGAATCTTCTATTAACATCTGCCATGTATCATCGTGTAATCCTCCTTTTCTCTTTCCTCCCAAACTACAGCAATTCAGGGTAACCCTAATCTTTAAAGTGGACAAGAACCATAAAACCCTACCTGTGGTGGGAAGGATTAGGGAGTACATCATGCTTTTTAGTAGATGGGATTTAAACAAGCAATAAGGAGAGGAAAACCTCCCAAGACATAATCCGACAGTCTCAGACTGACCCAATTCTTTTGCCATAAGAAGTGATCATCACATATCTGCCCCGATTTAAATCGATGGGTAAAGTGTGCTGAAGAGTTCTCAGGTTCTGCAGTGTATTTTTAACTTGGAAGATGGAAGCAATGCCAGCTGTGATGTTGTACACCTAAATATTCAGAACGCTTTTCAATTTGATTCAGTTCCAGCACTTTGCCCCAGAAAAGGGGCAAAAAAAAAAAAGGCCATTCAACTCCTGCACGATGCTGCTGCACAGCTACTACAGCATGCAGCACAACAAAGAGATTCAGCCCATTGTCCCACGAATAACAAACAAAACAAGGCAAAATGAGAGGAAAAAGCCCTACAGCATGATGAGATTAGCTACTCAAAGTATGCCTATTTGCAGGGCATTCAACATTACGAATTGAGTTTTTCACTGCCACTGCAAACTATGCTGGACAGATAAATGTATCCAGGATTTGAACTATATTTGTATTTAATGTATAATTGACATCTGGAAAACTGCAAACTACTGTTACCATGGCCTGGTAGCACTCTATCTAGAATTCTTTGCAGAAGACATTAAAAGCCTGAAATTAAAAAAACAAAAACGAAATGGAACAATAAGCAAACAATGCACTGCCCTGACAAGAACAAAATCAGGTGAAGAGCAATATTTCAGCATCAATTTTCTTTCCATTGTGCTGAGGCAGCATCTACCTATGCAGAACGTTTCTTCAATAGGAACCAACATCAGAACCCTAACACTCTTTCAAAGATACTGCAAGTGTAAAAACAAGGGATTTTACCGAGTGTTTGCAAAGGAGTGAATGTCTTGTACTGCAACAATTAATGGGGACTCAGCTGAAAACAGATCTGTCTTGAAATTCTGTATTGCTGAAATTTCATTACAGAAGGGCTAATGGCTGTCCAGCTTTTATTGCTGCCAAACCCCGTGGTTTCATCTCATTCTTCTCAAATAAACAGCGCGACCTCACAGCCTCAACAGGCTTCCTCCTTTTTCAGGTGGTTCAGAATTTCTTCCTTTGAAATTCTCCCCCTCCTTCCTGCCTTACTGCTCACTTCCCCAGGGTCACGTACTTTCCTCCTCCATTTACCACGGTTCTAAGCAAGGACAAACTGACACACTTTCTTTTAAAGCCTTCCCACCGCAGGGAAGCTACGCTCTGACCCCTGCTGGCAACAGCCTGCAAACTGAGCCTGGAAAGACACTGCCCATGAATGTATTAGCCAAGAACTTACAGGAAAAAGATAGCTTGAATCCATTACCTGTTTTGTTGCCTAGCAGATCAGCTGTGTGTTTTTGCCTTCCAGACCCTCACATAACTGCTACTTACCTGTATTTATCAAAGCTGTTGGTCGCAGCGCAGCTTGCACAGTTAGGGTATGAAACAGCTTCCAAAGGGAGCAAGTATAGCCTCTGAGCTCCGGCCTGCTGCCCTGACAGCCAACCCACTCCGTTCTCTTAGTGAGAAATATCCCAGAAATCTGAAAAGAATACATGTTTCAGATACATGCAGCTCTGGGACCGAGATTAGCTTCAACATTTGTAGACATGCTATTTCTCTCCAAAGCCCATTGCTAAACTCACCCGTCTTGCAAGCACATTACATGACATGCAGTAACAGTCAGTGATGTTAAACCTGCCAAGATGCACATCAGGGATGCCTGATTAGTTTGCCAGGATACCTTAAGCAGCTTAACTTCCAGAGACTTTTTTTTCAGCACAGTATGAAAACAAGACACACACACTGCTGTGAGCTGTGTTACAGCTTCCGTGGGCACAATAAAAATTGTGCATCACTCAGCAACATCCATGGAATTTACAGCAGTAACATCTTAAGAGGATCAGATGTAAAATTAATGTTTATTTCTTCTTAAAACTACTACTGCAAATGAAAATCTTGCATGGGATTTCTTTCCAATGATTCATCTCTGATTCCTAAAACACACATGTCTGCTTTCCAAATCCCAGACAGCAATCCCACTTCATGGGGAGAAAGACTCACATTAACTTCTGTGCAAAGACAGCTCCATCACAGTGCTTTTCATTACCAAACCGAGATGGGATTCCTGGCAACGACCAAAGTCAGGAAATTAAGTAGGAATAACGAAGAATAATTCACCCTTCAACGGGCAAATTTCCCACCTTTTATACTCTGAACTTCAGAGAATTCTGCTGATGGCAGGCATAGCAAATAAAGCCAATTCTAACATCTCTGCTCTCCCATGGTTTGAAGCTGGCATTAAGGAAGGCAGCAATGCTTGCTGCTAAAACCACGCCAGGATTGTCTGCTGCAATTCTCTCATTCCAATTTCTTCATGTGGATTTTTTTTTTCTGGCAATGATTTCACTTCATTTTCATTTTAACCTTCTTATAACTCCATTACGGCTGAGGGGCCATCAGTCAGTGATGCCTTAGATTTATACAGAATCTTATCCTTTACTAATGCTGTATTTTACACTGGAAACTGGTAACAGCTTACCCGCATTTTGTTGTTGACCAGATCTAGAATAGCATCATAAGGGATTTTGTCTAATGGAAGGCTCACCAGCCACTCCTGCAGGGTCTCTAACAACTTCACCACAGGCTGACGGCCAGGAAAAAGCTGAGGATATTAAATAGAAGAAAGAATATAATATTTTAAAGCACAACTTCCAGCAGCAGCATGACAGTTTGATGTTTACCTAAATGTGTTTTCTCATCTCTGAAATGCATTAGCTCAGTTTAATAGACAAGATTTTCTTTTGTTGTGTGCTTGTTCTGTTTATCAGTAAAGCAGTTTACCAGTTCTCTCACAGTAACTCACAAAATTTAACACACTGCATTTGTAAAATGTTAACCAGCACAAAGATGCTCAATCACAAGCAGAACAACCTTGGGCAGATGACACAGAACTTTCTGTGAAGGTAATTCAGCTAAGCACACAGCTGGAGGAGCATAAGACCTAAGAAAGGCTGAAATCCTTTCTCACTCTTTGAATATAAACCACAGCAATGGTTCTTATAGTATTTTTATTCTGGTTGATGATGGCAGTTACCTAGAAAAATAACTTTCCTTTTCATATGTGTGATTCCCAAAGTGGTTTGCAAATGGTGATTACATTAACTTGCAAGTTAAAGCAGTCGAGCTCTGTCAGACAAGCACAAGGAGCTGTAAGTCAGGGGTCATATCATTATTATACACTAGAAATGCTTGACTGATTGTTGTATTTACTATGGAATTGAGTACAGAACATTTTCTAAGCACACTTCCAGAGGAAGGAGAAACAAAACCCCTGTACCTGTTGTCTTAAACACATTCCATGCATTTAATAGATGTCAGGAGATGCTCTGCAATACAAGTCCCTTCGCAGCCACTGTCCAACTATACAACTAAAAAAGCTTACTTCTGTACTACAGCCAGCATCTATAATCCTGTAGGAATCCCAAAATATCATACTTGACTATCTAAAAAAAATAATAGTAGCAGAGTGTCTCTGGTAGATACATTTCATGGAAGAAAAAAGTAAAATCTAATTCTACAATAACGAAGATTTCCCTAATAGGGGGGCAGAGATCAGACCTCTGGGTTTAGAATGTAGCATCATTTTAAATGCTGTTAAACAGGAAGATAGGAAAAGTGTTGGAAGTCCTGATTCACAAAGCTGTTGTTATGGATTGAATGCTGGGAACTTTGTTAAAAAGGAAAGCAAGAGACAGGGTTTAACTTTGAAATCCAGTGCGTGAGCCTGCAGAACGATGCACGTCATGACAGCACCAACACTGCAAACTCAGCATTCTGACTGCCTCAAATGCAAGCAGTGCACATGTCAGTAAGAGGGAATTGTGAGTGAGAACCAAGAGAAAAGCTGTTCAAAACAAAAGAATGCAAATGAAGGACAGGAGTCCCCATGTACAATGGCAATCTGGAGATGAGCGTGCAACAGCATTCCCCACTTATGCACTAATAGCCAGGGAAGCAAATGACATAAGCTGGCCAGGAGCCATCAGGAAGAACAGAGGATGTTTTAGGGATAATATGATGGAAAGATTACCACCACACTTTCTTAAAGAAATGAGGCCAGCTAGAGATTTCTGACCTCTGATGGCCGCAGGGGGGCAAGAAACCGACTGATACACCGAGATAGCTGGGAATAGATCATACAGCCCCCATTATTCCCTTAAACAGGAACTGGTTAAGGTATTTTAAATAAAGCCAAGTGTTAGCAGTCAGTAAGTACATCTAGAGTCTGCCTGTTTCAGAAGGCTGATGTGACAAGGTGAAATATCATTTTTTTTCCAAGTTAGATGGCACGTGTTGCTGTTATTACAGGTGATGTGCCTGCATCTTCATTTTTGGAATACTCAACCTCAAGATTCTAGATTCAGACTGAAGTTAGAGATTTCTAAATAGAACACTACTTGTCAAGCATGCACGATCCAAAATTAAACAGTGAAAAGAATACTTTTACTTACTGAGTTAAAATAGCTATTTACCCCAAAGATCTGATAAATAGCCTGTATTAATAGCATTCATTCAATATGCTGCAGGCTGCTTAGCCTTTATTCAAATTTGATCTGTCTAAGATGAAATTAAAATGCCTTTCAGCTCTTTAAGGATATCAGAACGGCATAAAGTAACTCAAAAACAACATTTAAAGAAATTCACAGAACTATTTTTAAGCTGTTGGGAAAGCACACACTTAAATACATTCTGAAAGACATTTTGAGAAGCTTACACCACAATAAATTTTATGTTACAGTCTTTTTTTTTTTTCCTTTAAATAATCAAGGAGTGGAAGCACACACCTTGGCAGAAATGGTAACAAAATCCTTGAAGGTCTTCAGCTCAGCTCCCTCAAGCATCCTGTGTGTAGCAAGCTCCACCCGGAACAGGTAATGCAATCCAGATTCAAGGTCAGCCATGTACAACTTTGATCTGAAACACACACACATAAATAACATCGTGACAGGCCTCTTTCACTCATTTTCTTATCAGTCACAAAGGTAAAATTGATATATAGTAGGTGCCATTAAAGCCTCTACATTTGCCACTCCACAGTGATTGCAGTATAGCCTGCAGCAGGCACAGGGAATACAGCAGTTGCTTCAGGTGCTGGGAATGGTGTCGAGTTCATTGAGACCCACTGCACCCTCCTGAACAAGTTCTGTATCACTCAGCTCTGAGCTCAGACATGTGAAGCAAGACCACACTTCAGCTTTTTTGTTTCCCAGCCAGCTGCACCTCGCAATGAAGTCACAAACCACTGTCAGCAAGGAAGTAGAAATTACAGCTTCTCTCCAGAATCTGACACAAACAGTAAAATCACATGCTACCAGAAAAGGGAGACTCCTGCTTAACATACAGAGATGATGCACAGAGCAGAGGTGCAAGCAAGACTGGCAAAAATCATTATTGGAAAGGACTGAACCTAGCAATCCTCTGCCAGATGCAGCAGTATTGCTGCAGGCTCCCTGGATACAGTGCTGTGCAAACAATTTCATTCACAGCTGCTCTCAGTTACACACCTTATGACAGGTACAAGTAAAACAACTAAAGCAAATTAAATATTTTAACATTCTCACAACTAAATGTCTTTATAACAAGACAAGTTATAAAGAAGTTTATAAAGAAGTTATAACAAGAGCTACTTCAGATAGAATCCATCAGGTAAAACATCCTATCTTTCAACGTTCTCAGAGTCCAACCTTCACACTGCATCATGCAGAGCAATGTAACTGAACAAACAGAAGTTCATACAGTATTCTTCTGTAAGAGCTCAACAAGATCATTGTTTTTGTTTGGTTTGGAAACCATCATTCAGCTGCCTCCACCTCTAAAATTACATCCACAAATTAACATATATTAAAACGCAAGATAATCAACATTTTTAACAACTCAAACTACAAACTTACTTTGACATATCTCCTTAGTTAATAATGTACTCACTTAAATTGAGAGAAAAAAAAAGAAAAACTCTGCTGGCTTCAAGTTTCTTGAAGATCCATACGTGTGCATAAGGGTCTCCCAGAAAAAGCCCATTTGAAAGATACTTGCACTGGAGATTCATATCAACAAGATTTTGGCTTGCTGGGAAGCAGCTACATTTAACTAAGCTGTTTTAATAATACAATGCTTTATGTACAGTATTTTACAATAGTCATTGAAAGAAGATGACACTAATAGTCTCCAAAAAAGGAAAATAAGTACAAAATGAAAGCACTCAGTCCTGTATCTTTTCCATCTAAAGATGCTGAGGGATTATCTCTCTGCAAAGCCTTTGTATCCTTCTCTCAAATAGAGAATGGGGAAAAGAGGGTAAAGATAAACCTCATCAGATTTGGTTTGGCAAACATCTTTCACAGAGACTTTAGCATTTTCAACTGCATTTGCATTTTTGAGCATTTTTAGTGGGCACTGCTTACTTTCCAATACACACAAAGAATAATCATTTTTTACAGAAATGTGCTACAGCTCATTATAAATAATATATAATAATATAATAATATAATATAATAATAATATAATATAAATAATAAGCTTTACTGCTTATTATTTCAGGGAATTGATTGAAACACTGCTCACAAACAGAGAAATGTTACCTGCCTTTGGCAGAAGCTGTAACCTTGGTGCTGGAAATGAACTAATTCAGTGTCATCTCAACATACTGAGAAACAGATCAAGCTGAAGCAACAGCTGAAGCACTGCTTCCAGCTTTGGTGCTGCAATTTCTCCAGCAATAAGCATAAATGCCTCAAACTTTATTCTGCAGAAGAATGAAGATCAGAAAGTCTGATCAACCTATTCAAATCGAGCTACATCAGATGGGATAGAAAGAAATACCATTTTCATCTGCAGCAGAACTTTACAATGACAGGGCAGCCTCCTACGTGGCAAAAAGAAACTGCATGTGAATTTTAATAATCAAGCATTGAACTGAAAATCAGAATTGCTTACTTATCAAATTCCTTCCACGGCTTCATCTCTGCGCTCTCCTCCTTGTTTCCTTTAGCAGGCAGCTCAAGTGGTGCAAGAAGTTTCTTTCTTACACCTGGCAGCGACTTCAGGTATGAAGAAAAGACCGACCGCAGGGGCTTCAGACTGGGTGCAAATGGACAAAATTCAGATTATTTTTATCTTGGGTTAATAAAACATCCAAAGCAAACCAGCATATTTATATCACACTCGCTTTGTTTTCCATTTCTATTTTGATAAATGGTGATGATTTTAGGAATAGTAACAAAAATAACTGCAATAAGTAGTCGAAATTCCACATGAATTAAAAACATCATTGTTCATCAAAATATCAGCTTGATTACACAGGCACTGTCCACATGGAGAAGTATTCTGACTTAGAAGCAAGCTTGGATGCATTGCTAATTTTTTTCATTTTTATTCCAAAGTATTTTCCTTTCAGATACATCACAGCAACAGGCACAAAGACTGTAAGTAGGCAATAATGGCAAGCAAGCTAATATCAAGTCACTTATTAAAATATATATATATATAACAATATTAAATGCTTCATTAGGAACAACACACAGCTTTCAGCATATGCAACTCCAAATAACAAGCAGCCACCTATTTCCAGACAGAAGCACTACAAAAGTGGCTACTTCAAAGAAAGTTTTACAGTAAATAATCCTGTCAGTGCAGTGCAGCAAGCCAAGGGTTATGAGGTTATGAGGCCACAGGACTCTTTCATATCAACTCTTTCTACTGGCATAATCCATCTCTACATATTATAAGCATTCATAAAGAGCAAACTGTATAATGAGAGCACTGAATACAATTAATAACAGCTGAAGAGTGCTCAAGACAGACAATTTTCAAACACAGTACACTGAGTACATGCTAAGACACAATGTCATCACACACGTGCAAAAATGACTATAAAATAACTTACTTTGTATAAAAGGAAGCTATAAAAAACAGTTGCTATAGCTTGGGTGAATCCCCCTATGTTCCCTTGAGACAGAAAGTGCTCACCTGTTAACCAACCCGTGCGACCCATTAGGATGCATCAGGTAGCACGAAGGGACTGAGGTAATCCCAAGTTTCTCCAGGAAAGACTTATCAAAATTCACTGCTCTCTTTACAACAATGTTTTCATACTGGATCAAATCCAAGATAACCTGGGTAACAAAAAGGAAACACAAATTAAATACACTGCTGGTGGAATATCCAGTCTTGCAGGACAAGACAGGTAAGTAAGCAAAGTGCATCAACCCTTAAACTGTTCACCAAGAAAGTGCATCTGTGAGCACCCTGTGGACACCAATAATATCAGCTGAAGATTTACTCTGCAAGTTATTTACTCCTACCTTCAATTCTTTGTTCTATTCTGATATTTTTCTTTTCCAGTCTAACATCTGAAGAAAACATGAGAATGAATGATGAAATGTCCTCAAACCTCAAAATAGAGCAGGGAATATTCCATAGGCAACAGCAGATATGTTTTGTGCTACATGTGCAAGGTAAGTTTCCACTACATTTTTCCTTTCTGGGTGCATATTATCTTTGCTATGTTTCACCTCACTTTCAAACTTGTAATTTAAAAGACCCCTCTTTTAATCAGTAATAAAAGCACAGAACTTCATTTCTTCAGCTGTTGTGACTTCTATTAGGTTTGTCTATACTGTCTAACGCTGAAAAACTGAAAGTAATGTTGTTTTTATTTTATCAAGCTGCTTTATAAATACAGAATTCTCCATAACATTAGCAAATATTTAGCCTTCTGAAAGCAGATTCTATTCTTCTTACTCAGATGACAATCTGCTTTCCCTGCAGAGGGGAAACAGTGTTAAAATCAGTGACAAAATGCTAGAGAACTTGATAATCATCACCTCCTTTTTGGTACTGCCTACAAGGACCAAAACAGCAGCTTCCAGAAACCAAATGTCTGGAAGCAGTCTGCTTCTCAAAGTGATTCTTGTTTTTGGCAGCACACCCTCCTCCTCTTGTACAACTCAGTCATCTTGGCATCAAATCTAATTAGAAACATTTCACAGACACAGGATGCTTCTGCACAGATTATACCTAGATAATTGTGCACTTTATTTACTTTACTTATTCCAGATCTTGGCAGCAAGAGAAAAGTAACAGCTCTAGGCGAACAGCAGGCTCGTTAAGTGGTGAAATGAAGCCAAATCAAATATTTTATTGGGGGGGAAGGGAAGATCAAAGTCTTCCACTTCCTCAGTGGCTCAGAGTGGAAACAATCGCATGCTATCATTTAAATTAGAACCACTAATATTATGAATGTTTCTCTAGCAGTCACAAAACATCTGACAATGTTTTTGTTGGGATTTTCCTGCTCTTGAAACAAAAGAATTGTGCTAACAGTGAAACTGCTAAATTAATCTTCCTCTCAAGTGGGAACAGAAGAAGTTAACATAACACGGCGTACATCTGCAAGCAAGTTCTTCTGCATAATTAAATACAACAGCCTTATGTAACCACCTGACTTTATGATATCTCAAAAAACACGACCTGACTTTGACCATCCTTCAATCCAGTCCTAGAATCACAAGCTCTATTGCTTGACTAACACAGAACTCAGCTGTTTCATAATAACACCCTTTCATGCTCACGATGTCACAAATCATGCATTACCTCTCGGCCAATGTAGGAGTTATTACTTTCGACCACAATAGCAGTGTAATGAGGGGTTTTCTTGTCAAAGAGAGAAGAAACATCACTGGACCTTTTATGAAAAGATAAAGCATTTAGCACAGGAGAATGCAATAAGCACACTGTAAATCAACAGAACTGCCTTTTACTATCTCGTAGTAGTATTGATAACAACACTAAAGAGCTTACTTTAATAAGAATATCTATATCATGTTTAATTAACACAGCAGACGTACATTAGCTGCATTTTAAACAAGGCACTTACGAAACTGGATCCAAAGGTGGGCAAGCAGGAGGTCTTGACTCCTGAGAATGGTTCTGCAAGAAGTCAACCATCACCTGGCGAACTGTTTGCAGCTCACGATCTGCTCCTGCTGAGTCCAAGGCACAAAAACATGCAGTGCTTCAGACAACTGACACACAGCTGTGGCAAACACTTCAGGTGCAGGTTTTTACACATTCTCATACTTTCCTGCAGCATTTTTGGTTTTTGTTTCATATTCAGATTGGGAAAAAGAGGCACTGTTTTCTGTCTGACGAACAGGTACCAAGGATTTAATTGTAAGATTGCAATTTAAGGTTGGAATGAGAACATAAGAACTATCAACCCATCCCAAAATTTATAAAATATCAATATAGATATCTTGATATTTTATAAATCTATATACAAATAGATTTGTAAATATATATTTACAAACCTATCTGCCTGCCTTGCTGGTTCTCTCTCAAAACAACGCTTCATTCCAAATGTGTGTTTGTTTCCACAGCAGTTGCAGATCCTAGTAGCCTTTTTTCGATAAGGATATTCATGATGGATTAAAAACTGCAGATGTGTGGCATTCACACCAAATGTGACAGGTGACCTTACAAAGCCACCTAACATAAAGGAATAACTGAGCTGTGAGATCATTTTATCAGCTTTAAAAGGAATAAATCAAAACGCAGGAGCTCTCACAAATACCAGAAGTAACAGGTACAGCTACAGCCTAATTCTACACAAAGGGTTAATGGTGCAGGTGGTCCTTCTTCTGACCTTTGGCCTTTTAAACGGTAATCCATTAGAAAAGACAACATTACTTTTGTCCCCAGACAAACCACCTCAAGCTGTGATCCTGTCAAACACAGGGGATAAGCCTGCTTTCAGTTAGTCAACATCTGAGTGGGGGTTCCCCAATGAAATTCAGGATGCCTGGAAACTGACTGACAGTTCAAAAGGCACCAGAGCCACGACTGAGCAAACTGCATCTCAGGCTGCAGAGATGTGGGCTGGTTTTGTCCTCTGGGACTTCCACCCCCCTCCAAATGAGGGCAACTCACACTTACAGCAGGATATTCCTACCTTTGTAATTTTCTCCAGTCGTAAACTGCTTTGTAAATGCTCTGAAGAACTACAGGGGAAGAAAAAGAAAAGTATTACTGATTTTAAAAGTCACTTTTAAAGACAAAAGCTCTGGTTTCACACAGTCTTAGTTTTTACAGCTGTATTACAAAACATTCCTATCTCTCCATTCATGAAATAGTTTTTACTCCTAGCTTATAGTCCCAAAGCCCTGGCTAGAGCATCAGAATTTCTAGTAAACACTCTCTGCACATAGGTTGATTTTTAAGTTTTAGTTATCATACACATCATCTACCTAAGGCAATAAATTCATCACGGCACTCACCCTTACAGTTGGATAGAAGTGGATCCCATACTCCTTACACGTCTCATAGTTCTCTTCTTCCCCGCAATCCAGCACACCAATTCTAATTGCAGACTCCCAGTCTGAAAACAAAAATATATTTCCATTTTCAGCAGAAGCGACCTCGGATCCCAGCTGCAGACTGGCCTGGTTCCCAAGGAAATCAACTCCACAACTCTGACAGATTCCAGTAGCACAGAAACCAAGCCCTTGGTTGGCCCTTGTTCACAGGCCATTTCCATCCTCAAGATGAATGAAGGTCATTGAACAACTAAAAGCTCCCTGGCTGGTTGGGCTTCTGTTTGTTTGAAGCTGCAGCAGTATTCCCAAGACATCTAAATAAGAACAATCTCAACACACAGTGTGACAATTATAGGACTGCAGATTTTTTTCTAATCGAGTCCAAGAAGATGAAATAGGGTCCAACCCAACAGAAGGTTCCAAATCAGTTCCGCAGTCAGCTAAGCCCATAAGCTGAGCACGTGGAGCATATTCAAATGCATAAAACAAATCCAATAGTTTCTCATCCACGTGGCTGACAATCACCAAATGCCACATTTGCTGCACCAGGCATCACAGCTAATTCTCACACAGGCTCACTGAGCTCACAATGTTCTCAGAGGCCTCCAGATCTGCATTCAGCCCAACACTTACATTTTGCCCACTGAAAGCTGTCTTTACTTTTTAGTGCTCCTCAGGCACGCTCAGGATATGCTTCTAAAATACCCGAGTTTTAACTGGAGTGCTACACAGTTGGGTCCCCACATCACTAAATTTCCTAATTTCCTTTATAAATGTTTCATAGGAGTCACCACAAGAGTTGAAGTATTTCCATAAATGCACCTACATAACTTCTATAAAAGCTTTCAATTCATTCATAGCTTTTTCCTTCTCCTTTCGCCAGCTCTGCTCTGCTGCAGCAATCACTTCAAGGAAGAACTGCTCCAAGAGACTCCTTATGCAGTTACTTTTTACAGCTAAGCTGAATCAAAACAGCTGTGGGCAGAATTTGAAGACACACCGTAACTCCCAAGGATCAATAAAATATAAAATAAGCACTAAAATTAAATTTGCTTTTATAGCAAAGAGCCCGAAAGCTTCATCAAGTTCAAGATCTGATTGGATGCCTGGCTGCTGCTGAAATTTAGCTTGACCTTTCCTTGTCTTTGAAGGAGGATGGGGCAGCTGAGTGGGAATTTCAGAACATGCCAACAGCCCAAAAGGCACAGCAGTAACTACAAGCATCCTCGAGCAGATGGGCACACATTCACAGCAACACAAAAGATACAACAGTCCATTTTATTAAACAAAATGCAAAACAACAACAAAAGTTTGGCTTCTGGGTATCCAACCCATCCAACTTTCACCACTCCTCCTTTTTCCACCTGCCTTCATATCCTCCTCCACACCATGAATAGGAGCACTATGAACCCAATGCAAATCGCTCACTTAGAACAATGAAAATGCATCTCTGGCAAAACACTTGGGCTAAAGAGCACCAGCTGGGGGTGTGCTGCTCAGCATTTGCTTCTGCTTAGTGAGGAGCTCCTTGTTTCTAAGAGATGTGAAAACTGCTGCAGCACACGGCCTATATTGGCAACACAGTGTAGATTTGTTTCAAAGAAAACACTGCTGATTTTTAAATAGCACTTTTAAACAGCACTATCATTGCACATCTAGGCTGCTTCCAGCATAACAGCAACGTTTCTGTAGTTCCCCAGAACAATTTCTGGAAGGAAAATGTTGCTGGATTTGGGACAACTGTGCAGAGAAGTGGATTATTTCTGCATATAATTCAAGGGTTGTATGTGGGATCTCTATGAGTTTGTCACTTCTGCACAGAAAACCACTACATGTAATTACAGCCCACAGACATTCTGGTGGGTACATTCAACCACCTTTTAAGTTACCAGAAGTAAACTGTAATACAGCTAAATGTGTGGTTAGGGATGCAGCAGTGAGAACTCTACACCTATTCTGAGAGAAAGCATCAAAACGAAAACTGCAAACAAAGCATGCTCTGTTCCTGAGTTTCAGAAGCATCATCTTTAAGCTTGCAGTCAAGTTGCCAAAGATGAACACATGAGAAATGAAATAGCTCTCAGATGAAGCTACCCACAGAAAGCATGAGCGTTCTTAGTCTTCCACTACAACCCATCCATTCCCAGTCTGAAGTGGAAACGTTCTGCTGCCCAATAACACCAGACACCCATTTGCATTTGCTGATATGGCCAACATCCACAAACCCCCAAATCCACTTTTTCAATGCAAGTCTTTCTGAAGACTTAGACCACACTTTATTGGTCCTTGAGGGGTTACAGTAGTACAGTGCACCTCGTTGGAACTGCAGATAAGTAAGAGAACAAGGACTTGAAGCTATTAAAAATTACCATGATTGCCTACAAAGATATCACACCGCTGCAGTAAAACATGAACATTTTATTTTGAGAAGAGCTCTGCTCACTTTCAGCTCTTCATGATCTCCATTGCAATGCCCACACACCTCCTGGCTCTTTCATGTCTTTAAAAAAAGGTCTAATACTATTTTGGCCACAAGGCAATCCAATTACAAGGTGAAAATGTTATGCAAGCTTATGTAAAGAAACAAAAAAAAAAAGAGCTGCAGCTTATTCAAACAAGAAAAGCCATGAAAATAACAAGTGCCTGAAAAGCTATGAAACCAGTACTGCTCTGTTTCTTGCTCTTTGAGTTTCTGCTCGGTCCAGCACATGACAAACACCCAGGGCCTTACTCTGGGCAGGTCCATTTCTGTGCCTCTAAAACCACATCTAAAAGCATATCTAACACTGATCTACGCTGTGTGTTCATCATCATTGCTTCTCACATCCAAGGCTGCCAGAGAAGCCAGAGCTCCTCACTGTCTCAAATAGAAACCACATCCATGCACCAGAACTGCTGCCTCCGCCGTGATATCATCTCTTGGGTAAAAAAACACAGTAGAGTTTGCAAGCCTTTAACACATCCACATTAAGAGCAATTTCTCCCAAGATTCTGTCTCAGTTCAGCTCCCCACCACAGCTACAAACACCTCTAAGCCCTGCAGGTTCCTTGCATCAGCTCTACAAACAGAGCAGAACGCTGCAGCACGTGCCAATAAACCCACGAGCAGATTGAGACGCAGCAGTGTGAGCATCCCTCTATTGAGGCACAGAGGCCAACGACCCATTTAAAAGAAAGGTGTGATAACCACAAAAATGTGTGTCCCTCTTTGCATTATCACCTGGCCATTCTTTTTTCCCTTCCAACCCACTCCTGCTCTGTTGGTTTTGCACAATCCAACACCAAACACACGCGGCATCTCCAGCACCGCAGTATTCACGTGCTTTCTGCTCAGAACGGGATGATTCCTTTCAAGCAACCAGAAGATGAAGATCTCAGAGAGCTGACAGTCGGAAGGCATCTCGGTGCACCCACCATCAGCCTGCAGTGCCACCTGGGCAACCGAGGAAGGCTGCGGGTCGGAAGGGCCGCACAGCTCATCCATCACACACACGGCGGCATTTCGGTGCTCGGCTCCCCCACGTCATTCAACCTGGAGGCTCACCGCTGCTCCCCACAGCCGCTCACAGCTCAGCTCCCAAGCAGGACGCGGTCCGGGCAGCGCCCACGGCCCCGCAGCGCCCCACGTGCGGAGGCCCCGCAGCCCAGCCCAGGCCCACACCGGCGAAGACCCCGGCGGCCCGGCCTCGCAACGGCGGTCCGCGGGCAGACCCCGGGCCGGGCCCCCTCACCTTTGACGTCCCCCGCCAGGGCTCGCCAGGTGGGGGCGAAGGCGATGCAGTGTCCGCAGGACGAGCTGTAGAACTGCACCACCCAGGCGGCCGAGGAGTTGAGCAGCGCTCGCCGCACCGTGCCGGCCACCAACACGCTCAGCGGATCCTCCCCGGCCCGGTACAGCCGCGCCGCCACCCCCGCCGCCAGCAGCGCCAGCAAAACCAGCGGCCCGCCGCCGCCCGCCGCCATGTTGGGACGCCGGCCGCTCGGGGCGGGGCGGCGCGGCGCGGGGCGGCGCCATAACAACGACCGGGCGCGGGGACGCGGCCTAGCGGAGAGTGCGGCCCTCAGCCCGCCTGCCTGCGGGCACCGGGGGGGAGGCTTGTAGTGCCCGAAAGCGGGTTGTGGCTGGCGGTGCTCGCAACTGCTCCTTGTAATCACTCAAGGACTGAAGAGGAAAAGAAATTGATCCAAATCCTCGCGTTTCAGGCGCTCCGTTTCAATTTCAGGGGTTAAAATGTAGGCTAGGATCGTTACGGCAGGCTGGCTGCAGCGGTGTGATATCTTTGTAGGCAATCATGGTAATTTTTAATGGCTTCAGGTCCTTGTTCTCTTACTTATCTGCAGTTCCGACGATGTGCACTGTACTGCTGTAACCCCTCAAGGACCAATAAAGTGTGGTCTAAGTCTTCAGAAAGACTTGCATTGAAAAAGTGGATTTTGGGGTTTGTGGATGTTGGCCATATCAGCAAATGCAAATGGGTGTCTGGTGTTATTGGGCAGCAGAACGTTTCCACTTCAGACTGGGAATGGATGGGTTGTAGTGGAATACTAAGAATGCTCATGCTTTCCATGGGTAGCCTCATCTGAGAGCTATTTCATTTCTCATGTGTTGATCTTTGGCAACTTGACTGCAAGCTTAAAGATGATGCTTCTGAAACTCAGGAACAGAGCATGCTTTGTTTGCAGTTTTCGTTTTGATGCTTTCAGAATCGGGTTGAAACGAGATGACCTTTGAGGTCCTTTTCAACCCAGGCCATTCTGTGGCTCTTTGTGCAGGAATCCCACACACCGTGCAAATCATATGAGAACCAGCAGACTCTGCCACATTTCCCTATTTTTGCCCATTTCTCTGTTTTTTGCCATCACCATCTGAAGTTCAGTCACATCCTTCCATCCACGTGCACTGCCCTGAGTCATTGCTTTCCTTGCACCACGCTCCATTGGAGCTTTTTGTCTCCAAGCAGTAACAGGAGGTGGTTACAGCAGTGCAATCCAATGATATAAAAGGAAAACCTTCATGTAGGTGCTAATTAGGATTTTAAAATCTTCAGATACTTCAGAGCACATTTTGTTCAGAAGAACTGCTAAAAGTGCAAAGATGAAAGAGATGGATTACGGGAAAATTAAATGTGGGGTTTAACTGAGAAATAATCATTTTCTATGAAAGATAATGACTCCTCTTGAGGCTAGTATCGAGATTTATTGACCCGGGAGGTTAATATTGATCAAAACCAAGGCAAACAAAATATTAGACCTTGAAGTAGAGTCATCTTGATATTGAAGTCTTGCCACTGACTGAACAGGTCAATATATCTGGGTGCCAGAATCTAAGGCTTGGAACAGATAATGGCAGGGGATATTAAATATGTCTGACATGTTCTGTGTGTACACTTTTTATTCTCATCAGCAGTAGTTACTTTATGGCTATGTCCTTCTGTATATAGCTATCTTGCAAGGGTTCAGGCTTCACTCACAAACCTAATTGCAAACATAACGGTGATCTTTCTCCCGTGTAACACATAGCTGTCTGAAATTAAACAAGTTCTTCATCTATTCATTCACATATATAGATGATATTTTTTAATAGCTTTCATTCCCAACACACAACAAGTGATCCTGCTGCTGCAAAACTATAGTGAAAATAAACTGGAAAACTGTAGTGCTTCAATATATAGATTTGTCATTGTATCCAATAATTTGCCTGTGAGTCCAGGGGAAAAAAAAAAAAGCCACCATTGAATTAAATTCTAATAATAAGCTGACAAGAAGAAAACACTAATCTTAGAACAAATAACTTATCTGGATTACTGGATTAATTAATCAATGAGGATAAGGGTCAGGAGGACGGGGGGGGGGGTGTTGGGGAAATTCTCACCCAGGAAGGAAGAGCTCATTTAGTGCTGCATCTCAGCAGCGCCATCAGCCCTGGGATTGCAAAGCAGGAAAGTCAAAAGCCCAACCAGAGAGCCAAGACTAAATTAGGAGGTGCTGTGGCCAACTCTTCATCATCACCAAGTACTGCAGGCTGCATCAGGTGGTTGGTTTGGAATGAATTTGTAGCAGACTTTTAGGAAAATGTACCCCAGGGAACATGAAAATAGTTTACAGGGTAAATACAGAAGTTAACGTGCTTGGGACAGAAATAATCCTTTTCTTTTCACAAGGCAGCTGCCATGACTGTGCTTTGAAATGTCCTAAGAGCTATTTGCAAAACAACAGAACTACTCCCATTCACTAAGGAGGGTAGCAGCGTATAGAACAAAATGTGAAATCAAGTAGAATGTCTGTAAAAATAAGAATGAGATACATTCGATTTATTTTGTTTATTCAGAAAGCAATTCAGTATGAAAACAGCTAAACCATCAGTGCTTGAAAACAGAAACAAAGTGCATTTCATTAGTCTGTAAATATGATTTTAAATACAAACACTTACAGGATGTAAAAACTGGTGCACCATCACCTCTGTAATGGTGTGGAGCCCCTCAGGAGAAGTTTTAGACTTGTTCCCATTAGAAGAGTTTATTCCAAGAGATCAACAACGATTTACTTTCTGTAAGATTTAATTCCATCTGCGCCCTGATTTTCTGAAGACAGACAGCATTGATTTCCTGAACATTTTTCTTAAAATGTGATTCATCCATCATCATTCACAACCAGAGTGTGATAATGAAGAATAAGATCATTTACACATAAATTGCTTTTGAACCCTGTCTGTATAATCATAGACTCCTACACAATTTTAAAACCCACAAGGAGCTCTTAAAATGCATAGGTGAATAAAATGCTATCTTGATAAAAAAAAACCAACCAAACAAACAGAAGAATAAAATTGCACCACTTAAATCACGTGTAAAACCACTCTAAGAAGAGTATTGAGCTTAATCAGCGTTTCCAAAGTTCAAAACTGAAGAAGAAAGTTTTCGGTAGCATTTTTGTTACTTGCATCCTTTCATTGTAAATATGAACATGTAACTCAGGCCACACCTGTATTGGGTAAAGCTCAGAGTTAAGATTATTAATCGTGCATCTCTTGCCTTAGAAGTCAGGGATTAAAACTCCACCATGAGGGCAAACTTCTAATCACTGGCTTTTCTCAAATAAATCCTGTTGAGAACTCTGACTGTATCAAGGATCAAGCTGTCAAATATGTCTTCAGTCACGCTCATCTTCACAGTTAATTCATCATCACCATAGTAAGTCCACTGAGATTCTTCTTTGTGGAGCTCCTGAATCTAAAATATAACACAGACATGAATATTTACTGCAAGAGCATGGTCAGTTCTGGGAGGCACCAAGGAGCTGTGCCTAACCTAATGATTTTACGTATGCAATATTCACTTAAAACAGTCATAAGAAATTGAAATACTGAATAATTATTGCAGGTGTAGTGAAAAGGATGGCCATGACCTCTGCAAGTTCCAGAGTTACTTTAAGTAAACATGATGAAACAACGTGAGTGATTCTGGTTTTGGTGTAGAGAAAGTAAACAGGTCTTTGTTGAGAGGTCTGCTTACCAGGATGAGATCCACTCTGTCTCTCTCACAGTTTCCATACTTAGTCATATTAAGGAATTTTCTTTTCCCTTCTAAGTCATTCCTTTCCAGGTTCATTATTTTAATCATTTCCCCCTGAACAAATGTCTAAAAAATAAGAAAGGGTGAAAAGAATTGTTCTCATGAGAGATCTATTGCTGTGAAGCATTGGAGATGTGTGAAAAGGGCCAGCGTGGAGATCCAGCATCAAATCTAGAAATGCCCCACATTTTAGGGGGCTGGTTTAGAAGCAGCTGATTGATACTGACCGAAGAACACATTTTTAATGTGAGATCACCTCAGGGGTAGCACCCAAGATTGCTGTAACCATGGACATTCAGAAGCCCGTTGTTCCTCTTGAAAGCCCTCTGCACTTGGAATATTGGGACTGGCTAATTAGTGCAGTCTGTATTTACTGAGATATTTCAGTTGCACTGCCCCAATCCTTCCAACTTTGCCACTGTGTCACTGCAGTGCCTGCTCTCTTTACTCTTGTTGTTCTACAATTTACATTTCCAGAATTTACCTTAACCTCATTGACATCTGTGCTTCTGCAGCGACACCAACAACAGCAAGATCTCAAGTTTTCTTTCAACCACGGAAATGTTTTTGGATGTGCAGTCACTTGATACTCCTCACGTAGAAGCTCGTGAGTCAAATCGAATATAACCTGCAACATCAAAAACACAGAACCAAACTGAGTACCACATGATGCTCTTTCCAAAGTTCTCTTAGTGTTTGACAAAAGATACCAGGCTGCTGACAGCAGGATCTTGCATCTCAGCGCAGAATTTGTGATCATTGCTTACATCACAGATCTTCCTCTAGCTGTTGTGATGATCGTCACCTAACGAGTACGTCAGCCCGTACAGCAGCAGGTCTCAGGCAGTAATGTGTGATCATCCACTAAGTACAGGTTATGCACAAGACCCTGGTGGGACTCAAATCTGCCCTGCAGACAGAGGTCCACAAAATTCAGTAATTCCATGAAGATCTGTCCAAGCTCAGAGGCAGTGCACTTGGACTCTAGATTGTAGCTTTCCAGGGAGTTTGTTTTGTCCTGACAGACCCAAATCTTATCCAGGGTCTTAACAGAAGAGCTGTAGCAAAGGGCTCATATCACAGCAAGGATGCCTATCCTAGAAGAATTATTTTACAGTTCATTAACAGAAGCAATATTTTGCAATAGCTTTGTCAGTGTTCCTCTGCTCTATTCAGTATCAGCAGCAAGCATAACAGTAGGCACCAGCTAATGCAATTCATCCTACAGAACACTGAAAAAAAAAAAACCAACAAACGACAACCAAACACTTAGAAAAAAATACCTGATTATACATCCTTTTGCTTTCTGTTTCCAAATCACTCCCTGGAAAGTCATTACACTCAGACTGCTTTGGCACACTGGTTCTTGTGAAATTCGAATAAATGTTTTCTGGAGTCCATAATTCTTCTACAGCATATGCAGACAAGTTCTTTACATATGAAGTGTAGTGTGGTACCACAAGGGGAACCTCTACAGTTTTCTTCCAAGGAGCTGAGTGCCAGTGATCCAACAAGTATTGCTTTTGTGTTTGTCTTTCCAGAGCGCGTTCATTAGAGTTAGGCTGATCAAAGTCTTCAGAGCTTCCAAAAACACCAGCATCGAGGATTTTTAAAAGGAACTTCAGTGGGGAGAGAAAGAAAAACAAGGTGATGTACCCCATGCTTTTCCACTGTTTTTTAGAGGTATTGAAATCATTAGCAAGTGATTTAGGGCTACACTTAGAAATCAGGAATCATATGCTCTCACTCAGGGGCTCAATTAAAGGCTTACTGATGTGTCAGAAAGAAATATATATTTTAATTGTATTTATTAGAATTCAGAATTAGATTTACCTATTTGAATTCTATGAAAGTTTTTGCTATTTCTACATTTTTGGTTCTGATTTGGGGTCGCTTTTCCTACCCACTCCTCAAACCAAGTCTCGATTGTTTTTTAAAGCTTTCTTTTATAGTGCTTCCCCATGAACTACTTTGGAAGCGAAAAATGAACAGGCTGGAAATGGAAGCAGCAGGCATCAAAAGTGCCGTTTCATTGGAGTTCCAGGCTCCCCAGTAGGCTGAAGGAGAAGTGAGAGAACACTGCACACATGTCATCCACCTGCTGCAAAGTTCTTTAAATGATGGTTTAGTAGTTCAGCTCCATATGTCAACACAATGCAATTTTTGATGGAAAAACAACTGGGCAACAGAAATGCTTGCAGCATAGACCCCATTTCAGATCCAACACTTAAGGTGACAAACTTTTCTGAGTGTACTTACAGGCAAAGTAGTTGGAGAAGTCTCTGAAGATGAAGGAAACCTCTTGTCTGTTTTTACTCCTTGTTTTCTTTTAATCTTCTTATATTCCTTAACTGCATCCCCTACAAATTTAGTCACAATTCTTTCTGCTATCGTGTGACAACCGTGAATGCTAAGCATATTGAAATCATGCAGTAAAAGATCAGCAACCTTTGCTGATTGCTCAGTTAAGGTAGCAAGTGGATTTTCTTTGATAAGAAATTGTTTCTGACTGTCCCCTTGTTTTAGGCCTTTGATATAATTCACCACATTTTCTTCAAAGGCACCTTTGTATTTGTGTTGAGCTGTTTCAGAGAATGCAATCAACGCATCAAGTAGAAGTTTCTTACTGAGTTCAGCTGCGATATCATCAGTGAGTTTATTTCTTTTCTGATCCTCTACCAAGCAACAAACACTTTTGTTTGTGTTCATGCCATCTGCATGGCTAGCCTCACTTCCCTTTGGAGGCACACCTGCAAGCACCCCTTGTTTTATTTGTATCAAATCTGTTTTTTCTTTATCTGATCCCCAGCACATTAAGTTGTTTTGGTGATGACATTCATCACATTTACAGTGGTCAGAATGTGGAAGTGTTTGACTTCTTCCACACTGCAACGCAACATACAGCCTGGACTTCTTTTCTGACACTTCTGATCCTCCTGGACTTTTCGTATCTTCAGCTTTCTGCTCTGTTACCCCTGCACTCTGCTCACCAACTTCAGGGTATCTGCAGTCTCTTCTGAAGGATTCATCATCATAGAAGGAGTCTGAGTCTTCATCCCCAGTGGAACTGGAACCATTGTTGTTATCCTCCAACAGGTGTGAAATCTCACCAGGTCTGACAAAGACACCACAGTGCTGTGCACATTCAAAATACTTCACCCCTTTGTAAGTTCCAGAATGATCACCTTCAGCTTTGTCCAGTGCGACACCAGCCCAGTGGCCGCTATCAAAACGAGTCCGTCCTTTGAACATCAGGGTTCCAGGTTGGGTCTGCTTTACTAATACTCTGTCTCCAATTTCAAATGCTGACAATGGGTCATCACTGTCCTCCCCAGCTAATGGCAGCGTTATGTATGTTTCGCATTGTTTCATCATGGAAGCAGGATTTTTACTGGCCTGACTAGAAGAAATAGGATCTGACACAGGCAGAAGCTCCAAAGACTGTGAAGGCATCTCCTGTTCTCCTTCATGGTATTCTGACAAGTGCTCCTTTGCACAGGAAATAACTTCAACTAAATACTGTTCTGAGAGGTTACCTTCCTGAGTTGAAAAGATATCAACTGGCTCTCGATTGAACGAGGGATATTCTTCAGACACAGTGTCATCAGGTAATGGGGGAAAAGCATCCATTTTCAGGGATACATCTTCATTCATACATTGTCCAGTCTCTGGGGCTGTCATTTGTTCTGGTGGAGATGGGAAATTATCTGTACTGAAGCTAGAATCATCATTTTTCATTGCATCTACACCCAAAGGGGGAGGAGGGAGATCTTCCCTTGCAAATGACAAATCCTTTTTATTAGAGGATGGCAAGTCAGCACTTGCATAGGACAACACTTCATCAACAGGAGACAGTATTTCTGACAAGGTAGCCTCATCAGCCAGAGGAAGGCCCTCATCACTAATAAAAACTGTATAATCTTCACTTCTGAAAGAGTTCTCAGAGTGAAACAGTTGCTTTTTTGAGGAAGAAAACTGTCCATTCCCCAGTTCCTTTGTGGCTTGCCTGTCAGTTTTTGAGTTCTTATGAGTTCCTGAGGCCAACCTCTGCAAAGACCCAATGGAGGTGGTTTCTGTATGGACTTCCCCAGAAATTCCCTGTGTGGACAAGGGCAGAGATACAATCTGATCGAGTTCTCCAGATATGCTTTTCTCATGCAAAAGCTGTGCATCATCATTTTGCACTGTTGTATTTCCGGACAGTGATTTGCCATTTGCAATATCTTTGTCAGGTGGAAAAGAGACAGTACTACTAAGTTGGTTATCAGCCACATCTAAAGGTTTCAAAGAACCCATCAGCGGAAGACTTTGATCCCCTAATAAGCTGCTAATTCCATCATTCCTCTTTGATTTGTTAGTGATAGAATCAGGAGCTTGCTGCTCGTAGTTCTGAAGGAGGTAAATGCCATCACTGCACAAAGAGCTGGCAGCAGCATTTTTTGAGTTTCCTGAGGCTTCCAAGTGCAGCTTATCCATTCCCTTGGTGGGTTTACCAAACCGAGAGGAATCCAGTGGTGTTGTTTTGGAGGTATTTGCTTTGTCTGCTGAAAGGAAAGAAAGCAAGTGACCGGTGCACCCATGAGCTGAAGCCTCTCCAGGGCATTTCTGGAAGTTCTGAGAGCACGATGAAATCTCTGTGCTGCTGCCACCCTTGGGCTCTTCAAGTTCATTGTGTTTGTCACTTTGTAATGTTTTCCTCCCAGAATTTATTGCTACCGGTGCCTCTTTCGGAACATTAGGAGAAGCATCATAGACTAATTCTTCTGGAATACTGACATCAGCGTCCTCTCCACCTTGCACCTCTAATTCAACATCTGAAATAGAGCATTCGGAAACATCAATCCAAACTGCAGACACTTTCTGAAAATCTGGGAGAGAACAGTCAGATCTGGCACTTTCAGAGCATGGAGAGAAGCTGTTTGACTCGCACAGTGATTCAGTAGGACCTAATCCTTCAGAAAAAGCTTTCCTCTGTAGTTCTTCAGCAGAAGTTTCTTGAGAATGATGGCCCAAAGGCTTCAGAGACTGGCTGCCATCCACCTGGTGGATCTCAAAAGGGGCAGACATTTCCACTTCACGTGGAACATCTAAAGAACAAATTCAAGAAAATGTTTTTGTTTTGTAGAAGTTGCTGAGAGGTAACTGGATTCAAATCTATTGAATCCTCAGCAGTAAATTGCATTTAAAAAGTCTGCTGCATTAAATTCACTATGAAGTTGGAAAGTATTTGGATATCATAAAAACAAGTCAGGCTTAATCAAATAAAGATGAAGAAATGAGTGTTGTAGCAAACAAGCAAATACAATAGTGCCAAGGTAGTCGATCAGAAGAGTCAAAGGCAAAGTTTTCATTAAGATCTCTATTATTTCAGCCCCAAGAGGAACTTCACTGCCTGATACAAGTAGACCATTATTCTCTATGGACAGAGAGTTCTCCAGGAAGAGCTATTACCAAGATTATGATAAATAACCACAGCAGCCCTATGGGGAAAAGGCACTTACCTTCTGAAAAAAGGATTTCGGAAGGTGCTTTTTCAGCTACACACATGATCTGCGATTCTCTTTCAGAATCTGGGCTAACCCTGAAAATACAGCATTGTAATTGGGTTAAGACTGAAATCATGAAGTGCACGGCACTCAGAAGTGTTCAGAAATGTTGGTGCATTACATTAGATTTTTCTAGGTGTATCTGCTGCTCATACACAGCACAATGCTGAACACGGCACCTTGTTCTCAGCTGTTACTTCAGATGCTCTCTATTAAGACCAAAGCACTCTGTAGATACATTTTCTGAAGTTTATTTCAACATTCATTCAGTTGACTCAAAAAGAATTAGATGTTCAAAGAACAGAACCAAGTATGAGCATCAAGCTCAAACAAAGCAACATTTGACACATGAATAAGCAGCAGAAGGTAGGACAGGAGGTCTTGATCTTGACAGGGAGAGTACCTTAGCTCAGCTAATGAACTTTCTTTCCTTAAATGAGTTTCCATTACTGTAGATTCACTTGACATTGGTGCCGATCTTTTTTCACTGTCTTGGCCATCAAAAGAAAGATCTTTCTTCCTTGTCCCAGCCTGAAGAGGCAATGATAAAAAAAAAAATAAAAAGCACTGAATAAACAAGAAAACTGAAGAATGCCAGTGAATTGCCATTGAAATTTCTCCAGGTTCAAGGCAATACGGCACAACAACTTCAACGCAGTGTCAACTTCATTACGTACAAGCTGAGTTCCAAGTGTGATATCTCCATGACAGACAATACTGTGCATTTCCTCCCTTGAAAATTTTATGCAAAGATAAAAAAACAGGTAAGAAAAACATAAGCTTGACACGTGCCTGAAATGGACCACATGGGTCCTGTTCTTCTCTACAAGTCCTGCCATTTCTCTGCTCCCTGGGTGCTTTCTCCACTGTCACAGGATCATTCTCTTGATCTTGTAAGAATGAGGTGTCATTACCTGAAATGTACAGTTTACTCAGCACAGAAGGAAGATGCAAAAGCCTTTCACCCTAAACTGATTGTTTCCCTCTTTTTATTTTGTCCTTACTCCTTGTCACCCCAACAGAAGCTAAAGGGGCACTGACCTTATTCATCCAACCACCCCCTTATTCATCTTCCAGTTATGGAGCAGAAACTGTAATTCTCATTCCAGAAATGTCTACACAGTCTCTCCTCCTATGCACAAATGCCACCCCAACAAGACCACTTACAGCTTGTCACACTTTCTTCTTGCTAATCCTGAACAGATCCTCATACCAAAACCCACACTGCAGACAAACAAGGAGTAGATAAGCATCACAAGTTCTCTCCCATAGGCTACTCAGCTTTACAGTCCTCTTCTGAAAGATCATTTGAACTGCTCCAGAGCACTGCCGAGGTTTCAACTCTCGCCTTCAGTAATTTAATTTGACCAGGTGTTCACAGTTGGCTACAGAAGTCCTTTTTTAATTGTGTACCTGCGTTTGTGGAATGTCTGATCACAAAGACCACGCCTGTGGTTTGACTGGTAGCATCACACAATTTCTTGGCCACTGTTCCAAAGACATCAGGACCTCGTGCCCCCAGGGACTGCTGCAAACTCAATGGCTCCTCTGTCTGTTGCTGGTACTGTAGCAGTGCTTTCTTATTCTTGGTAGAAAAGCTGAAAACAGTCAGACAAGGAATTCATGACTGGGAGTTTCTTTGTGTTCCCAAGTCACAACATGCCTCTGCAAAGTCGATGAAGACATGAAGTAAGAGTTTCTGGTAGCCCATGCTGGTACCTATACTAGTAGCATGTGCTTGCATGCACGTGCTTATAAAAGCCAGTTATTTCTCTCTCTCCCTTCCACTCACAGTACTGTATTTTATACAGGCATACCAGAACAGAAGACTAGAAAATAAATCATCAGCTCTGAAAATACAAAACAAACAAACAAACAAAAAACAAAAAACCAAACCACAAAACCAACTCCATGACTATCAAGTATTTAAGGATGTGAAACCAAGTATCCCAATTTGGCAGATTCATTCTCAATCCTTAGCCAAATGCTTGCCTGCTTACAAGAATTCATAACTATAAGCTCTGTGTTCCTTGTTTCCTGTATTTCACATCTACTGTTGAAACCCCAAACCAGCAGCTTTTTCTGCAGGTTAGCAATTTATTTATTACTTCACTTTATTTTTTAAATAGCATTTCCCAATCCCTTCCATTTCCTGACAGCCCTGCTTATTAACTTGATCTTCCTGGTCAGGATGAAATATTAACATACCTGCACAGGGATGGCATCATTACCACTCCACACTTATATGGGAAACAGATCTATACACAGTAATGCAGCAGACAGAGTTTGGGTGCACTGAGCTCCACCAGGCCCCGTCTGCCCCAGACTTATGCTAATACTGCTCTCCTATGAGCAGGCTTGTCAGTAATAAGAAGCGAAAGCACAGCCAAGAAACCTTTTAAAGATCCCCGTGACTTGTAATCAATAACACCATGAGTTATGGATCAATTCCATGACGGGGTTTATTTGAAAGCCTTTCCCTGTGGGCAGTGTACTGACCAGTCTGCACAGGGTCTGGGGAACACCAAATGAGGGAGCTTCTCCTGTTGTCTTCAGTTGCTTCTCCTGAAGCAAGCTGGACGTTTGTTCACCTGAACCATTTGGTACAGCCACACTGAGCAGCACGAACACTGCGAGTCCTCACCTGCCCTGCTCAGCACCTCCTGCTCAGGGCAAAGCAAATGGGGGTGTTGGGGTGACAGCATCTGGGGAATGGGAGGTCAGTGCTTTCTCGGAACAGTTCTCCCTGAACTCCCACATTACACATGACTGTGGGTATTTTACTGACACTTCTAAGCATCAGTTTATGCATAACATGAAGCCCCATGTAGCACAAAAGCCTTCTGTAGTTAAATCCCAAGCGAAAGACAAACCTGCTCTGAGGGGTTAAGTGATACATAACCTTAGAGTGGATGACAAAGGAGTGATTTTCACCAATTAAATCAATACGTTTCTACTCACTTCACCTGGGTATTTTGAAGTTTAATTAATATATAGTTGCAAAGTGCTCTGAGCTTGTAGTTAGAAGTCATCAGACATTGTATGGCATCATTTAAAAATATCCAGGTTATTAATGCTATGGAAATCAACTGGCATAGGTCTGCTGTCAAAACTACAGTTTTTCCTAACGTTACAGAGATGGGCTTCAGTCCCACAGAACTGCTTAACAGCTCATAATACAGATAATCCTAGGGAAATGGCATACACTGGTAAACGTATTCTACTTGAAGAGTTCAGCAAGTAATATGTAACCTTTATATATCTCCAGATATGGATCTATACCTCAATTTACTTGGAACTGTTCACATACCTGGCAATAAGCTGGTACTTGCCCCAATGAGCTTACCATTTTAGATACGAGATGGCAGACTGAACAAACAGAGGACACCCGAAATAATCGATGAGGCAATATCGGTCAGAATGTTAAGCAGGGATATTGATGCATCAACTGCTTGACCACGGAGGTTTTCAAAACTTATCATTATAAAACGCCCTCTTGGGAGCATTTAAACTTCACACAATTATCTGGGCTATAACTGCTCCTGCCTTCCCCGCCAGATTGGTTTTTGTCTTCAGCTATCACTGCGGAATGGGTTTTACTTACCCATCATATTTTTTGTTTTGTTTGTTCTTCAGCTGGACATAATTCTGTTTATCCCCACACGCATCAGGCCCTGAAGATTCTGCCAAGGGGGAACCTAGCATAGCATTAGAAATCTGTCTCATCTTTGGTTTAATTACTTCTTCAGTTGCTGGGCTCCTGGTAAGCTGAAAGGAAAAGGACTGCGTAAGTTTTCACCTGGGTATTAGCTGCAGTGCCAGCTCTGACTTTGTTATTATCTATCCACATAAACAACCAAAAAGAGCATTGAGACTTCTATTAACAGCCTCATTAGGACTGCAAAAGTAATCAACAGGCTAAGAATTAGTTTAATGGAAACCATCTCACGTAAGAATTGAATGGTCTGAGATGCTGTCCTGTTCAGATCCAGCTTTTATGAGAATCTTTACCTTAGATTCAATTCTAATAACAAAGAACACCTGTTTATTAAGAGAATAAGCAGATGTCCAGCACACAAGTCCAAGCCTAGCACAACCTGCACCCACACAATTAAAAGCTATCACTCATTAAGTGACTTGATAACCTTTTTCTTCCCAGTTAGATGATGCAGTTCGTCCCGGAGTTTCGCTGTTGATTGCTGTATCATTAAGATTTCTCTTTGTTGCTTTAATAAGAGTTTCCTCTCTTGATGGGCCGCCCTGTAGATATTTTGCAGGTGCTGTATTTCTACCTGCATAAAGCAGAGAAAGAAAACAGTAGGAGAGAGCTATGAGTAAGTTTTAAAAAACACCAGAAGGTAGGAAACAAACAGAACAGTGCACATGAAATAACACCAGTAACCTTTTCCCTTTAAAAATACAAAAAAAGCAATACGAAATCTTGCTCCAACCACCTCCCAGTACTGCATGAAGCAGGGGGGGGGATGCAGTGAGCCCCAGATGCTCTTGCAGCATTACCTGCTCTTGTTTCAGCTCTGTTAGGACTCTGCGCTGCTTCTCAGCCATGGCAGAGGCTCCCTCAGTGTCTTGCAGGAGTTCCAGACAGCTGAAAACCAGAGAAGGACAGGTACCATGGTCAGGTGGATAATTTAATGCCATGAATGCAATAGTTTCGAGGGTCCGCAGGGGGGGGGAAAGCAGCTATAATGCACAGGAGCAAAGCTTCTTTCCAAAGAGCTGTGGAGCTGCAGTAGCCATAGCAGGCGCTGCAGAAGGTCCTGCTGGGCTGTGAGGGCACATCACCCCACACGAGGAGACCAGACCACCCTGAGGGTCAGAGGAAGGGACACCTCACACTGCTGGGATGCTGCAGCTGCCCCCTTCTGCCGTGCTTCTGAAGAGAATAAAACCAGCAGGTCCTCTCCTGCTTTTTTACCAGCACACACTCCATACAAAATGGGTTTTATATTTGCTCTCTTTCCCCTAGAGGAGGAAGCATTCTGACAGAGCAGGAGCTGCACCCCTCCATCACAGGACCCTCCCCAGGGCAGACCCACCTGCCCAGCTTCCCTCACCGCCTCTGGTGGCCCAGCCAGGCCAGCTCAGCTCTGGCTTTATCCCGCACGGCTCCCCTGCGCAGCTCCAGGAGGGCAGCCTGGTGGCGGGCGCGCAGCTCCTCTCCCCTCAGGCACTGCTCTGCCATGGCCAGGCTGAAGCAGCAGAAGGAGCTGGAACGTCCGTAGTGCCGGCCAGCATCACTCCACTGGGGACAGAGCAGAGCGAGTTTCACACAGGGACCGAAAATACAACAAAACAAGATCCAAGCCCAGTAGGGTGGAAGCAGAGCTGGTGTTACCTGGCTGTCCTGGTCACTGCTGTCCTTGGAGCCATCTGCTGTGCAGGGATCCCCGTGGGGCAGCTCTACTGGAGCTGACAGCAGGTTCAGCCCTTGGTGGCCATGCAATGGCTCCCTGTCCTCTGCTGGCAGAGATCCTGAGGAAGGGAAAATTTCAAGTCATCATAAATAGAATATCTAACAGATATAGAAACAGAGAAATGACTGAAATTTGTGATTAATGGTTCCAACTCTTGAATTTTACAGTATATCGTGAGCCATGCTAGAAAACACCACTGTTTACACTGTGCCACCAAATCCTTTAACTCGGAGCTCACCTTCATGATGGGCTGAGCCAAATGAACTCCTTCCTCCCAGAGATTTAATTTGTCCCACAGCTTTGGAGTCCACTGGGCTCCGATCTCTCTCCACATTCAATGGAAATTGTTCCAGGGAATGCATCTCTTCATTACTGAAGGTACAAGAGGAAGGACATTTTTTTCTTGTTGCAGTTAGAGAGAAAATTTAAACCCCCAGCTTTCTTTGAAAAATCCTCAGAGGAGGCATCTGATGGCACCGCTGCAGGGCTGCACTGCACACTGTGTCCCATACCTGCCAGCTGTGCTGTCACCTGCAGGCTGCTGTCCTGCCCATGTTTGCTCTGCATGGTCCAGCTTCAGCGCAGGGGAATCGCTGCCTTTAGAACTGCTGCACAGCTGCAGAAACAGAAATGGTCCATAGATGTGAGTGATCTATTTGGAAAGCAGAACTTTCAGTCCTTCTCCCCTTACCCTGTTGGGTACAGATATATTTATTTTAACAGTTATTCCTTATGAGCTCAAGGACCGATGAGAAGGGTACTACTGACAGTGAAGTAACTGGGTACAGAGGGCAGGGAGCATCACTCATCCTTAGGGTGTATAAAACATATGGAAAAATAAAACAGCACAGAGGATGCTTGGCTCAATCCAGAAGCAGCAGCACAGGAACTGGAATCACTCACCTTTAAATCGTTCTGAAGCAGGTCACTCAAAGACCTCTGGCTTTCCTGAAGCTCTAGTTTGGCTTTCTCACTCAGCACTGCCAGCCACTGCTTCTGCTGGAGCTGATATGCCTATGGTAGGAAATGACACGCTGCATATGGTATTTTTAACTGAGTCACATGGCTCCTCAGAGCTGGGTGCCAAAGGGCAGCAAACCCTGAAAGAGCAGCACAGGTACTGAGCCACCAACCCCTGCTGTATCCTGCATACCCTCTGGAAGGCAGCCCAAACACTTCTCTTTGCCTCAGCTAGCACAAAACAAGGCATTCATGGCCCCTTGCACTAATGTAGCATTAACAAACAGTAAATAAAGCTTTGCACCTCTCCCTTGCAGCCACATGGATTTTATAAACCTGCTGCAGAACCAGCTGATGCCAATTATGGCCTGAACACACCTGTGTCCTTGGATAGCCAGCAATTTTTATTTCATTTTATTTTTTAACCTCTGATAGCAGCACTGAAATTGCTTTTTGTCTGGACTGCTTACTGTACCTTCAGTTTGTGAGCCAGCAGGAGGGAAGTTTGTTTTAAGTTGTGCAGATGGTTCCTGTGTTTCTCTTTCAGTTGTGCACAGCTAGGGTCTGCCTCACCTGCAGAAACTTACAAAGTGGATGTTAACAGTCACCATATTTTAATTGAAAAAAATAAAAACAATCCATGCTGTATTTAATAGGTGCCAGCAGAAGAAAGTATCAGAATTTAGGACAGGGAGGCAGCAGAAGGAGATTGCTTCGGATTCCAGTGGGATGCTACCCTAAAAATGCATTCCTATGCTGTCAAAGTCCATGGGGATTTAGGGATTTGCCAGGAGGGGCGGCTTGCTGGGTCCCAGCTGGGCACACAACACCTTGTGAGCAGTCAGGATATTTTCAGCAGGGTCCCAAGGCATCCAACTCCCAGCTCTGCTGTGTTTCAGGCCTGGCTGTGCTTCTCAAAGCATTCTGAAGTTGTAACACACGGACATAAACAGGGCTGCTGAAAGGGAGAGGGTGATGCATACATTTTTGTACCTGTGTTTTCCTTTTGAATCCTTCCTGGACCTATAATTGGAAGACTCCTAAATCTCACATCTGCCTTTGTTCTCAGACCAGCTTTTCTGCATGTATTTAAGAAGGAAATCGTCCCTACCTCCATCCTGTCAAGAAATCTGTTAGCAGGCAGTCCTGCAAGCAGTGGGGAGAGGGAAGGGGGTCGGATTCGGGGGGGTTGTGCCAGGAAGCAGGACTGAGGAGCTCCTAACTGTTCTCTGGTCTGAAGTCCAGAGGGTGTGTTTTGTCACTCTGCTCCTTCACTGCATGAGCAGAATCAGATCCTCTGGTTACAAAAGAAGAAAAGCTTCCCAACCTGGTGATCTCTGGGGGAGCCCTAACAGCATCACATGTGTCCTCCATCCTGTCCCTGTGCAGGGCTGCAGCCTTGACGTCTCTGTTTTGTCACGGGGGAGAAAAGCCTTTGCTTCTATGTGGAGAAAACAACCCTTGTTCCAGGTGCGCCTGTTTCCCTGCTACTTCCTTATAGTGACTCTCATCTGCCTTTTACAGTATAGGTGATGTAATGTTTACCAGTGATATGTTCTTGGCTGCCTTAAGCTTCTCAGATGAATTGCTAAGCTTATGCAAACAGGTTGAGTGTTTACTCTGAGCTGTGCCACTGTCACAGCAACCAGTCATAAATGAAGTGTGGGTCATAAATAGAAATAGGTTTGACTTGGCAACATCAGATATCCATGTTCAGATCGCCTCAATCCAAAAATGACCCCACATCCCAGGGTAAACCCACAACACGCAGGGTTCAGTTTTGCTGATGTGAATCTCCCAGTTCTGGTTGGTTGTTTGAAAAGGCAAAATCATACAGAATGGTTCAGCCATCACACGGCCAACAGAAGGTTCGCTTCCAACAACTGTTGGTTTTACCTCACGCTTCCCACTCTGGGGGTCTGACTCAGATTATCCAATGCTCTCAGCTACCAAAGCTCGACGTGAGGGTGGCCTCTTCAGCGCAGAGAAATAAGATGATGTCACAGCAAACCAAATAAATACAGGGAAGGTATGGAGCAGATCTATTGGTGCTAACTTGTCTGAGTAGATTTCAATACCAATGTGTGAACGATGGGAATCTATTAGGGCACTGTTTACAACTGGGAAGTATTTTCCATTTGTGCCTCAGACTGAATGATGTTATTGGTGTTCCATTCAGAGACTGACCACCAGGATTGATCTCAAGGTGAACACAAAGTTTTTTCTGAGATGTTTTCACTCCTCTTGGACATCATTTTCCTAACAGAGGCTGTTGCCAGATGCATTCATTGTGTTACAACATCCTGCGTTAAGGAAAATACCATCTGGCTAGAATTCACGTATGATGAATGGCATTTTACTGCATATCCAGATAGCTTCAATGTACACACACTCTGTCTTTAAAAAAAAAAAAAGCTATTTATTAAATCAATTTCCGCTGCACCTGCAGAATCTCAGCAAAGCCCTGTAGAATCTCTGTGACATGTAATTAAAAAAGCTGGGCTAAAAGTCTCATTTTTCTAATCACTTGAAGCTAGGCAGAAGCACTTACTGCTGCGCTACTCAAGGACAGCTTTTCCTCTTTCTGCCCGTGTCAGCAATCAGTCCAAAGCAGTGATTACCAAACTACTTCCATGCTGCTTCAGATGCTTTAGATGGAAGCACAACTTTTACTGCATGGTTCCCTGGATGTCAATGGAGGTGGGGTGACAGTGGTCCAGAAAGGTCTCCTGTAATGGAGACAAAGACCCAGCACTAAGAGACCATTTGCTGCCCAAGGCAAGGCAGTCTTTCTCTCTCAGTCATCACTGCACTGACCTATTATGTGATGAGCTCTTCAGGCATGGGGTGGGTGAAATCCCAGCCAGGCATTTCAACACTTTGTTGGTGTGCAGGAACTGAGTTGTAGTGATGACAGGTGAGCAGATATACAAAGGTTTGCAGACTCCAGATCAAACTGAGACACGCAGCACCAAGTAGGACAGCTGTTTGTCCTTCCTTTAACAAGACCTGAGCCAAGAGCAACCCCTAAGTAAGAGACTCTAATCTTGAGAGCTACACTTATTTACCCAGGAAAATCAATGCTCTCATCTGCATCCTTGAGTACCTTGGAGAATCTGTATTTCCACATCTGCAGTTTCTTCTCTCTTCTATAACTATGTCTGGCATGCCACTTGTCACTGAGGGGTAGCTGCTTGCTGGACTAAGGGATTAATGTGGCTGGTGCCACTCCTGTCCTCTGCACGTTTTGTGCTTATATTTAAATCCTCTGGTGCATGGGGTTGGCCAGAGTTCAGCTTCCAGCCAGATGTTGCAGCACATGGCCATACGTCACCCTGCTATTGACCCATCTGTGTGTGACATCTCACACACACAGCAAGTCAGCAGCTCTTGCCACAGGCTAGCAAGAGATGGGCCTGCACCTGGACCTAACCAGCACACTGACTTTCTGTGAAATGTTCCTTCTGTGTCTTATCTGTTATATTAAATTCCCTCAGCCTGTTGCATGCCCAGCATGGGTAACAAAGCCCCGGTCTGTGTGGCAAAGCAACACTGGACCCACAGAGCAAGAAATACACGTATCCACATGCTTTGTGGCAACGTTTTACAGGTGACTTTACAAGTGGAGCTCACCCGAGCTTTGTGAACTACAGAAAGCGGTGCCTATTTTGTGGCAAAACACGAAGAGCGCTCTTATCTCTGAGCCATCAGTCGGAGGACAATTGGCTGAAGCCACGCTGCTGCACTTCTGTGCTGATGGCGTTAACTTCATCGTGCCTCCCTCTCCCACAAACAAGAAGGCAGCTCCCTCTAGTGATGTGAGACAGCACTGGATCAGCAGCTAAGCACATACATCGTAGAGATGAACGTACACCTTTTGTGATCCAGGTTAAGATTATGCATTTTAAGAACGATGGGCAGCATTCCATTGGTTTCCCAATGCCACAGCTTTCAATCAGTAGCTGTGTGGAAGATGAAGCAGTCACAAAAGACTTGTTTAATGGCAATTCTCAGCTTACATCTTGTCTCTCGGATACATAACAGGAAGAAATGAGGGCCTGGCATACTGAAGTGGGCTTTCCCACTCGTAGTCCATGTGCAGATGGCATTTACAGTTCTGGGTTTCACATTGGTTGTGTTCAAAAACAAAATTCAAGAGCTCAGGACAGGCTCACTGGCTCCACTCAAGCAGTGAGCAGTTACAAATAGTTTGTGAACATCAGTTTTGTGTATTCCATCTGAAAATGCCAGTTGTCCTTTTGCCGAACGTATTTACAACAGAGAAGAAGTAATTTCTTTGGCACAGCAATTAGTAGCTAGGTGATGCCTAGTGCCTTCTACGTGTAAATATTTATACTTTGCCCTGGCTCTATAATTACACATCATTACGCTGCGTGTGCACGGCAACTTCTGTGTCCTGTGAAAGAGAGCAGAAGCAACTGCTGTGCGATGCATGACAGCAGACAATGCAGCCCTGCGTCTGAATGCCCTTTTCCAGATACGAGTGGGGAACGGATCCACCGGTGACCCATATTTCAGGAGGACATTGTCTGCAGGATGACAGTTGTGTGCCTCATCCGCAGCAACACGGCCGTCGTGGGGCTGTGGGCTCGTGGTCAGAGCTCAGGCTGAGCTCACTGTCAGCTCCTATGGACACCCGGGGAAGGTGGAGGTGTCTCCTGGCGCAGGCAGCAGGCAGCTGCTCCCATTGTGCAGGGGCAGCAGCGGGCAGAGGGCTGTCCGTCTGCCATAGCTTCCAGAACTGGGCCTTTCCATATTAATAGTAAATAAATACAATGTCTTTCGTTGATGGTAAACACTTTGGACAATGGACTTCTGTCCAACCCTGAGAGGAACCCGTGTGGTCCCCCGGGGACCGGAGAGAAGCGCAGCAAACAATGCTGGCTTCCCCACCAATCTCAAAATCCAATATTACTTATAAAATGTTGTGGGGAAAACAATGAAGAATCCTTAATAAGAGCAAAGGCTTTTTGTAAGTACCTTCTTTGAGGAAAGGTTATCTGATCTTGTTCTTTTGTCTCAGAAAAGCCCTTAAAACAATGCACCATCTGCTGCTGTTTGTTGCAAGCAAGCAGCGATCTCTCCAGCCAGAGCAGGCCTGCATGCTGCTGTTTGCTGCTTAACCCTTTCAGCAACAAACTTCCCCTTGTTTCTATGCAAATATCTGCTGTGAGCAGAAGTGGCACTTTGCACCCACCCTTCCCTTGGCCTTCCCTTGGCTTGAGCCTCATCCAGCCTGCATCCTTTGTCACCCCCTATGAGTGCTCTGTGCTGCACAAGGCGGATAACACCCCACCCTTACCCAATGTATTAATCGTGGGGCGTTAATTGCAAAGCAGCCTTCAGATGCAGCCACAGGGGGATGGAGATGACTCAGATTTGAGGGAGGTTTGTTCCATCAGGGCAGTCTGTGGCTGCCACCATCATCGAGGTGACATTCTGCTGAGTTCACCTCTGCAAGACAGCGAAGCACTGAAGAAAAAGCCAAAGCACTCCTGTTGCATCTCTAGCAGAGTGTGTCAGTGAAATTGGACGTGACATTTGGGGGGCAATGCTAGCTGCTGATTCTCTCCCAGTAGCACAGGCAGCAGAGGGGGGAGGCACAGAATAACCACACACCCACCCCACGGAAGCATCCCCTTACCGCAGTGCTGTTCAGTGCTGCCTCGAGCTCTGCAGGGCTGCAGTGTGCGGCTGCCTGCTCTCCTCAGGCTCTCCATGCAGGGATGGCGTTGGGCAGCTGCCCCTTGATCCTGCAGCGCTGGAACTGCCCCACACCTCTGAGCTGCAGGGTCTGTCTGCAGGCTGTGTGGAGGTAACAGTTACTGAGAGAGTTTTTGAGGTCAGGTGCGGGTATAAGCATCTGCTGAACTCAAGAACGGTTTATTTCATTTTAGCAAAGCTCTCATTTCCCTCATTTTGTTAAACAGAAACAAAAGACCCACAGAAAAGTCACGGCTGCCCATGTACACAGCTGCCCGTCTTGCACCTCAGTATTGTCAGGAAAGCCAGGAACGCTCATTGCCTGCTCTGGGACTGCTCTGCAAGAGATGCCTTTTTCAAAACCAACTTTGCTGTTCCTAAGCTTTATTTATTAGGGTTGCACTGTACATCACATGCCATTGTTGGCACCTGGTTGCACAATCCGGCTCTGAAACTTGGCAGACGTTTCCAAAATCTCTTTAGAAACCCAACGTAATGATCTCAGTTCCAGTCTGCCTGGGACCGTGCTGAGCATGGCCATGGCCCACCTGAGATCTGTCAGTGTATTTCCATATTTCAGCACGGTTGTCCTGACCACACTCTCAGGTAACTGCCTGACTTTGTTTTTATCCATAACTGTCTGAGCTGAACTGAAAAGATGAGGAAGGAGCAAAGGTGTGAAAATGGGCATTTATTGATCCAGCCCCAGCTTGAAAT